TTAAACCTATTTTATTTAGGCCTATATTAGATGTAAGTTAGTAGAACTTAGTAAAGTGTAAAGTAAAGCTTTTTTTTATTATTATAAAGTGTTTAAGTAACTTAGGGCTGTTAACTTTTTATTTAAGTCTTTATAAGTTACTTATAAAAACACTATAAATTAATCTAAGTTAATAATATTCTTATTTATTAGTAAGTTAACATGGTCCACAAGCGAATGTTCAACACAAGCGAGTGTTCCGCCCCACCACTAAAACGCAGCCAACCTACTACTAACTGTGATGCATTAACAACTATACAATTAATTATCTTTAAAAGAGGCTAGAATTAACCTAGCTATTTAAGCTCTTAATAGAGACGCGTCTTTAACTAAGAGGCGCGCTGCAGCACTCTACAATGTTAATTAAATGGCTCTCCGCCAACAACGCGCAGGGATGACTATGCGACGCGACTGTACAGCTAACAACAAGAAGCTCACAAAGCTAGAAAAGGAGGTGATTATTAAGCATATACTTAATCTAGATTCCTAAGGATTTGCGCCTACTCTAGGTGCTGTACAAGAGATGGCCAACAAGCTTCTTACTAAGCGCGGCGCTCCACTAGCAGGTATCAACTGGCTATCTAACTTTGTCGCGCGTACGCTAGCAGTTAAAACCTACCTTAGCTGACTGTATAATTACTAACAAGCAAAATGCAAAGATCTAGCAATTATAAGCAAGTAGTTTAAGCTTGTAGAGGCTACACAATTAAAGTACAGCATTGTAGATTAGGACATGTATAATTTTAATAAGACAGGCTTTTAGATAGGGGTTATATTAAGCTAAATAGTTGTTACAGGCACAGATAGACGTAATTAGCCAAAGGCTATACAGCTAGGCAACTGTGAATGGGTGACGGTTATTGCAGGCATTAACGCAGATGGGTGGGCAATACCTCTGTACGTAATCTTTAAAGGCAAGCATCACCTATCTGCCTAGTATAAAGATAAGGATATACTAAAGAACTAAGCTATTAGTGTTAGCAATAACAGCTAGACAACTAACAAACATAGAATTACATAGCTAGAGCACTTTAATCTGCACATAAAAGATTACTTAGTAGGCTTATAGCAGCTGCTTATTTTTAATAGCTATAAGAGCTATTACTCTGTTAAATTCCTAAAGCTCTGCAAGCAGAGGCGTATTATAGCGCTCTGTATGCCAGCACACGCGTCACATATTCTACAGCCGCTTAACGTTAGCTGCTTTTTGCTGTTAAAGCGCGCGTACAGTACTAAGATTAGCTAGTTAATCTGCTACTAGATTAACTATATTAACAAGCTAACTTTCCTACTAGCCTTTAAGGCAGCATTTAGTTGCTTAATTACAACAGATAATATCCGCGTAGGCTTTAGAGCTACAGGACTAGTCCTATTTAACCCAGAGCTAGTGCTCTTAAAGCTTAATATACAGCTACCTAATTAGCTAGCTACTCCACCACTAAATACTGCCTAGGAGGCTTAAACACCTAGTAATCTTTATAAGGTTAAGGCTTAGTTAACTCTACTATATAATTAAATTTAAAGGCATTAGAATTTATTTTCTTTTGCTATGCTTAATCTAGCAAAGCAGCTAAGTAAGGGCGCTACTAAGATAGCTTATATTGCTGTTCTACAGCGCAATTAAGTAGCTGCCCTAGAGAGGGCCTATAAGGCAGCCACAAAGCGCAAGCAGCGTAAAAAAAAGCAAATTTAGAAAGAAGAAACTCTAACAAGTTATTAAAGCTCTAAGTTAAGTACTTAGAAGCTTACTAGTATAGTAGAAGGTAGTAAAATGCCTTAGGAGGAGTTAACTGCTAAAAGCAGCGCAGCGCGCGCACAGCGCTGCAAGCGCTGCAACAAGCCTAGGCATAACTCTTGTACATGCAAGGATATTAAATAATCCTATAGTAGTTTATTTTATATAGTATATTTTTGCGTTGTTAAATTAATAGTCTTTAAAGTTAAATTTAGTGGTGGGGCGGAACACTCGCTTGTGTTGAACATTCGCTTGTGGACCATGTTAATTAAGGTTGTTATATTATAGTTAAGTTAAAAGTAAGTATATAGTAACTAAAAGTGTTTAAAAAGGAATTAGTCTACATTTCTTTTAAGTTTATATTAGAGCTTATATAAGAAGAAAGGTAAGTCTTTTTATTTTTTATTAAATAGCAGGGGATTAAAGAGTTAGTTAGATTTTATTACTAAGTTAGAAAAGTTATAAGTTATAGGTAGTGTTAGACAAGAAAAAGTTAAGCTATCTCTAGACTTTTAGGTAAGCTTTAAGGCTAGTAAGTTCTTAGTTCCTACTACTATAATAAAAGTTAAGGTAAAAATAAACTACTTAATAATATAAAGCTGTTTTTTAAAGTCCTTTTAAAAAGCTTTTAAGCTTATAACATAGTAGCTTTTTTATAAAGTAAGCGCTTTTTAAAAAGCTTTTTAGCTTACTTTAATAGCTTAAAGTTATGTAAGTACTAAGCTTATTAAATTAAATTTAAAGGCTATTCTTAGCTAAAGTTTTAACATAATGTAATGTTATAATTATGCATAAGTAAGGTTATAGAGCTTTACAGAGGTCTAGTTTAATTACTATATAAGGTATTATAGTAGGTATAAGATGTTATGTAAGAAATAAAAAAGTTTAGAAGAAAATTAGTAATTAAATACTTAGCTTAGAAGTCTAAGCGCTTTAGGTATAAATTAAGCCTGTTCTAAGTTTAGTTAGTGTTAAGGCAGTTTATGCTTAAGTTTATGTCTATGTTATGTTGTGTTTATGTTAGACGTGCACTAATAATACTCTAGTACGCGTCTAATACAGTTATGTCTAGGATCTGGGGAGGATACCGTGACAGTTATTAAGTCCCCACGCACTTCTATATGCCTCTAAGTAGATTCCTACTGCATTTAGACCTATTATCTTGCCTAAGCTGTTACATTATATTAGAAAACTTACTTTTGCTAGTAATAGCTTTATTATAATATTACATTAATTATTTATTTAACTATGTTAAAGTTTAAAACGCGTTTAACTTAGTTTAAGTTATAATACTTACACAATATTACATTAAACTACTTAGTTATATAAATAGAATACTAGAGACTTTCTATTAACTAAAGCCTTTAGGTTTAGAAATTCTTATCCTCTATAATTAGAATTACCTTTAGAAAAGTTATATAAAGTACGCTAAAGTAGAAACTTAAAGACTACTAATAACTTATTAAAATTAAAGGTAACTGCTAATGTCTATTTAACTACTCTTTAATTTTAGAATTAAAATACGCTTTAGCTAAGGTAAGCCCTCTAGAGTTAATTAATAATCTATGTTAACAGCTAAACCTGCTTCTGTAGCACCTAAAGCTATACTTCTACCTAATTTAGAGTTAACCTCTAGCAGTATATATCGCATACAGCTATCTGCCTATATATATACTTCTGCTGTGCTAGCTGGGAGGTTAACCTTTTAGTAAAACGCAACAATTATAAGCGTAGTTGTAACAGCGCGTACCGCGTCACATGCTCTGCGACTCAAGCTCCCTCGCTTGCGCAACAAGTAGCGCCTTGGCAGGGGGCACACATGTATATTTAAACTCGCAGAGCAGCTCCTCTGCTCCTTAGTTTAATCTAGTTGGGTTACACCACCTCTTGCTTGTAGCTTGAGCATGCCGATCGTGACACTAAGTGGATTTACACTGCATTTAGACCTATTATCTTGCCTACGCTTTTACAAAGGCTAGTAAGATTATTATATATTATTATAATACTATTTTAACACATTCTTAACTCTTTTTATAACTAACTTTTTTATGCACGCTACTTATCTAAATTCCTTACTAAAGCTTAATTATAAACTAATGTTATAAACTCTATAAAAAGCTATAACCTATAGAAGCGCTAGACTAACTTTAAAAATAATAATAATAAATTTTATTACTAGCCTACTGTAGTTAGAGAAACTAGAGACAGCATATTGTCAGATATGCGCACCTACTGTCAAGACAGGAGGAACGTTTGACGAAAGCTGCTACATAGTACGAGCAATAAGCTCGAACAGTATGTTGCTGCAAATTGCAGCATTTTGCAGCATTTTGCAGCATTTTGCAGCATGTTGCAGCAAATTGCAGCATGTTGCAGCAAATTGCAGCATTTTGCAGCATGTTGCAGCAAATTGCAGCATGTTGCAAGCTGGTCGCGCATAGGGCTAGTGCGCGAGGGACTCGGATCGGAAAAAACAAAGGCCGAGCAACACGAGTAGAGCAGAAAAAGGATCGATAAATAAAAGACGATCAACAATCAATCAATCATCCCATACATCATATCCAAACCCATCATTCATCTCAGGAAGCCCAGAAACAGTGCTTCAATCTGACACATATATATGTAATGTAATATAGAAGAACTAGCTCTGTTATTATATTGTTTATAGTTGTCAGATTGAAGCACTGATTCTAGGCTTCCTGAGATGAATGATGGGTTTGGATATGATGTATGGGATGATTATTGATTGTCTTGATTTATCGATCCTTTTTCTGCTCTACTCGTGTTGCTCGGCTTTTTGTTTTGCCGATCCGAGTCCCTCGCGCACTTGCCCTATGCGCGACCAGCTTGCAACATGCTGCAACATGCTGCAAAATGCTGCAACATGCTGCAAAATGCTGTAAAATGCTGCAACATGCTGCAAAATGCTGCAATTTGCTGCAACATGCAGCAATTTGCAGCAACATACTGTTCGAGCTTATTGCTCGTACGATGTAGCAGCTTTCGTCAAGCGTTCCTCCTGTCTTGACAGTAGGTGCGCATATCTGACAATAGTAAGCTAGAAGATAATATTATAAAACCTTAGCAAAAGTATTGTAAGTAAAGTAAATTAAATTATATACAACTATAAATTATATAACCCCCTGTTGTCCTTCTAATTGTATAAAAGCACTAACAAAGTAAGACGTAGGCTAGTTGAAAAGTTCAAATCGTATCGTACTACTTACTGTTTGAAACGCTGGGAGGGTGTAGCAAGGAAATATGGAGGCAAGTATACATATATACCGCTCAAGACCACCTCCCCTATCCCCGAATAATCCTCAACACGAATAACAAAATTTCTAAAGATAAACGAATTACGATATAGTTTGAGTAACGTCCGTTCTAGACACAAGAGCGAATTACTAGCTAGCCCGCTAGTCAAATACTTTTGAAAACAACCTTGGTATAGGAAACGACTAGATTTAGACATATTTTCCTTTCACAGTTACTTCCCGCTTGGCCACAAAGCTCGTCGATTTCCAAGTCATTTATAGATATGTATATACAGTGTTTAGCACACCCACAGAATGTAGGGAGTTTGGACGGCTGCTGGCACTTTTCTATATTATAAGGTAGTATTTGAACCACTAACGAAAGGTTAAACCGCTGCATCCACCACGATCGTCTCTATCTTCCGGACACTCCTACTCCGGCAAGCCGAAGCAGAGCCTGAGCCACAGCGGCAACGTCCCCATCTTGGATGCCCTGCAGTGCTTCGCCGGCCCCCGCTGCAAGCGTAAGCAGGCCGATGGGGCCACCGATTGCCTCAAATGCCGGCATCACCATCGGGCATGACGCATCTCCAGCAGCCGAAGGCTTAAAGACGGCCGAAGTAGCGTTGCCCAGGCCGAGCAGCACCGTTTGGGCAGCAGCGGTTCGCGAGGACGGGAGGGCAGGCCAGCGGAAAGGCGGCTTGGTCAAGGCGGCGTGGGGATCTTTGGCGAAGGCAGCCCAGGCCGAGCGCATGAGGCGGCCGGTGGCGGCCTCAGCAGGGGAGTCCGGGATGCCGAGCATGGGGGAGGTGGCGAACAGCTGACTTAGCTCGGAGCCGTGGAAAGCACCGACAGAAGGGTTGACGGTAAGCTGTGTGTTGGGGTAGTCACCATGGAAGATGTAGCGCCACACGGGCTGGGTCGGCGCGGTGCGAGCGAAGTCTACAGCCGCGGTGGACGTCGGGCATGTGAAGAAGACGAGGGTGTACCATTCCCAGAAGACAGTGGGCAGGTTGAGGCCCTGCCATGCGAACTCTAGTTGAAAGGACCCACCCTCCTGTGCATTGCTGCCCAGCAGTCGCGGGATCTGCGCGAAGCGGCCTGCGGTTGTGAGCGTGCTGTAGTTAGCGAAGGCGGTGCGACCATCGGCGGATGGAGCGAATGCACCAAGCGCCGATCCCATCATCGGTACCTGCAGGCGGGCATTCTGCACAGCAGCGGCGGGCTTGGACCGCACGCATGCCACACTTCGGGACAAGCTTTCGGCGGACGACGTAACGTTACCGCAGCCCAGCAGGCCCGACAGCGACTGCCACGCCGCCGTGGAGTTGGGCGGCGCCACACCGAAGCCGTCCGCCGTGCCGGACTGCGTGATTAAGCCATGTACGATGGGATCTGAGGCGTACGCGAAGCCGTACATTGAGATGGATGCTGAGCCCGCGGACTGTCCGAACAGCGTAATGCGCGACGGATCGCCTCCGAAGGCGCCCACGTTGTCGCGCGCCCACTCGATTGCCAGTCGCTGGTCCAGCAGGCCAGCGTTGGGAGCGACGCCAGCCACTTCGGGCTGCAGGCCCGGAAATCCGAACACATTCACGCGGTAACTGGACAGAGCGGTGTCAATAAGACGAATATTGGCACGAGAAAGAAGCTCACTTTGCAGAGATGATGACAACGTCTTGCTCGTCGGCAAGGAACTGGCCCGTTGTGAACGGGTCGCTGGTAAAACCCCCTTGGAACCCTGAAGCTGGTCAGCGAGAGAAGTATAAAAGCTTGGGAGGGTGGGTGCATGTACCGCCGCCGTAGATGAAAAACAGCACCGCCTTTGCCTTTTCTCCCACCTGCGGCTTCGTCCACACATTCAGCGTCAGGCAATCCTCGCCCAGGGCGATGCCATGCTCATGGATGACATTGAAATACTCCTCCGCCGTCGGTGCGAGGTGGTACCCATCGTCCGTCAGGATGCTGTAGTTGGCCTGCGTCACAGAGGTCAAGCATGCTGGCCCAAACGAGCTTGCATTGAAGTGCGCTTTGGATCGGAAGCGTTTTGGCGCGGCGAACCGCAGGTCCCCAAGCGGCGGCTGGGCGAAGGGGATGCCGAGATACTCCGATACTTCTGTCCGGTTCGCCGCTGCGTGGCCATGGATAATTCCACTTGTCGTGCTGACCTCTTGACCGACGTTGAAGGGGCGCTGGGTGGGTGAAGACTGGGCGTGAGGTAGAATCGATGCAATCCCCAGTGCCTGCAAGGTGTAGCTAGGGAACCTCATCCTTGGTTGGGTCGATGAAGGACAAAACAAGATGATCAAAGAGGAACAGGCGAGTTCACAAGCGCAGACCAAAGGTAAGGAGCGGCCAAATACGTCTCGATCAAGCCTGTATATTACAGCGCAGATCTCCAAATCTCCTGGACCCCTATCTCGCAGAAAAATTTCTTTAGTAGCCAGTCCCAGTCCTCAAATACATTCGCTGTTAAGCACATGGAGCTCCGAATACGACGTAGACTTAGCGGAATGCGGCTTAAATTGAACTAAAGCGCGACGCAGCATGGGAGCCTAGCAATGTCGCTAGGAATCGACACTCGGACGTGTCTACGTCAGCAACCGTGGCTGAGTCTCCAGCAAGATGAATTCAACATCTTTCATGATTCATGTACATAGCTATAATTTGGTTCCCTAGACCATTGGCCATCACTAGTTATCTTGGTATATTTGTAGACAGCAAATGTGATATTCACAAGCTCTTCTGAGTCTATATATTCCAAGTACTGTACGAGAAGTAGATGGCGCTGCTTGGATCCATAGTGGAAGCGATATGCACACGAGCAGGTCCGAAATACAACAAAAAAGCCACTTATCGTTCAGCTACAAGAAGTAATGCTGATGGCGGTGCTAAGGTCTTTAGGAATGATGCCCTCCGTGACGGCATCGATGTAAAACTCTCGAAGATCTTCGAGTTCTACCTTCCACCCCCAAGAGACTCTGCCACCCTGTTTCTCGTCGACGTTCAATTACGTCATATCGACAGTTATAATAGAAGGTGAGGTTGTTGTCAATGGAGAGAGAAAAGACCACGGATGCTACGCCTCTAATCTGTCTATTTCAGTGTAGTTTCAATTGTAGATATCTTGAACATCATGCTAGGCAGCTGATGCTCTAATCGACATAGTTTCAATATCGCCACGGTTCTTTGATATTAACAGGTTATGAACCTGGAGGCTTCACTTCTCAGTTTTGCTCACTCAAATTGGCCAATTTAGTCATTTCATATCAATTTGTGAGCGAACTGATTCTTAGCATCATCGTTATTCTGAGTCTTTCCGACTTGATTGTCGCTATTACGACTTGAGTATCGCTATTAAGACTCCGATAGGCCCGTACTTTGGGGTGCTAAAACAAACCTCGACATGGCTCATTTTCCGAGGAGCTAGGCGCATCGAAAGCCTTGAAGTGTAACCCATTTAGTTCCATACCCACTTCACGGATGTCAGGGAGGAATTGATTAACTACGGCCGCAAACTTACGTTGTTCGTGGGGCAGCACGTTCGGGATGGCAAAGACAAAACCTGCTTGTTCCGATGAAAGAAGGGAAACAGCCATCTCGTTCGGGGTGTGCTCGGCGGCTTCGATGCGAAATCTAGCTGCCAACTCTAAGTTGCTAGATGGCCTTACATCCGACAAGTGACAGCGGAACCCGTCCAATAGAGTAGAAAATATCATGAGGTACTATGGTAACGGACGTTAATCAGACAGGAGATATGACATGCCCGACGGATAGGAAATGGCGAATTATGTGGAAGCGGAAAGCTCTACGGAACGATGCGCACAAGAGGGCGAAGGAAGAAATTAAGGAAGCCCCTGTCGATAGCCTATTTTATAGCCATGAGCATTTGCTCCCGTTTTAGGATCCGAGAAACGACTCCACCAGTCATTGTCTCTAGCGCGCATTCCAGGGCTGTGCTCCTGGCATGGAGGAACAACGGCCTAGGTAAACGACGTCACAAACGTCCATTTTCGCCCGCAAATGTACCAGCAACCTGCGATTGGTTGCGATTTAGATTTTTGTTAGAAATTTGCAGAGAACGTTTGACTTGATAAAAGTCAGAACGTAGGCCCAAGGCGTTGGCTTTACGGCTATCGACGCAATCGACCGCGGCGAAGGCAAGCTTTATTCTTACGGAGCACGGATTTTTCGTCGTCTTCGGTTCTTGTATGCCAAAGTGAATGTTACGCAGAGCGGAACGGAGGGTCCCACGAGGTCGTGATATAAGGCAAAAAGAGTAGTGGCATGGGAGAAAGAATGTATAAGCGTAATTGTGTGTTGTATAGTCTTTCCCTTCGGCGTTTTGAACTGTCTACTCGTACTAGGTCTGGTATGGATGGTAGCTAGGCCACCAAACTGCCATCCTCGGGGTTCTCTTCGGACATCGCCACCTGCTTCGACTCCTTTCCGAACCTGATATTTGGCGTGACTTCACACTGCACGAAGTAAGAGAATTTCGACAGCCTTTCCCTCCTTCCATATTCCGAAGGCTCTAAATTTCACAAGCGGTCTGATACCTTCTGCGACTCGCACCCAAGTACTCTATGATCGGCGCCAATCTTATCCCACAATGCCAAAGCTACGCCATTATTTCAGGCTCCCAGCCACCTTAGTATCGAGTCACGATAGACCTTCGCAGAGCATACCCTATTAAGCGGTAACTGCGATCTTAGTGGACAGTTGGCCGTACGCGAAGTGCCCCGAAGTACGCTGCACGATATAGGTCTTGCTTACGGAAGCGGGCATTCTGCGGCTAGAATCCATCAGTATCTACATTATTACATGTAGACCCTGAAGTAGATTCAAAGGCAAGGGTCACTTCGCTCGCTAATACAAGATGCCCGCTGTAATTGAAATCGCGCTAATCACCGAAGTCCTCGTTCCAAACGTCGATAATTATAAATTTGATGTGAAGACTGAGGGAAAAAGCCAAACAAGATCTACTTCCTTTCGACTCCGTCAAACTCAAGAAAAAATATACTGTCAACCGAGACAAGCGCCTTGCATGAGATCAGGGCCTTAAGCAGTACATTCTTCTTGATGGTCATCTCTTATATTACCTGGATGATCCTTGGGTTGAGCCAGGGTTTAAGAGCGTCCCAGTACAGGAGGATGTTGATGTAGTCGTGATTGGCGGTGGCTATGGCGCGCAGGTCGTTGCAGTGAGGCTGATTGAGTCCGGCGTTACGAAATCAAGATTATTGAAAAGGCTGGCGACTTTGGTGGAACCTGGTAAGCCCTACGGCTCAATGCGACATCGAATCATACATTTATATGCCGCTGCTTGAGGAAGTTGGATATATGCCAACCGAGAAATACGCTCGTACAAACGAGCTCCTGCACCACTCGTGCATGGTTGGTGAGAAATACGATCTCTACAACCATGCACTCTTTCAGACGGAAGTCAAGGCGATTCGCTAGAATGAGGATGACAGAATATGGACCCCAGGCACTTCTCGTGATGATATAATGAGGTCCCGTTTCGTTATTCCGGCGGCTGGGCTTCTCCATTCACCAAAACTTCATGGCTTGATAGGAATAGAAGACTTCAAGGGCCACAGCATTCATTCCAGTCGCTGGGGCTTCGATTACACAGGGGGTGATCCCGCAGGTGGACTCACAAAATTAAATGGTAAGAGTATTGGGATTAAGCATTGGTACAGGAGTGACGACTGTACAAATTATACCACATCTTAGCGAAGAGGTGAAGCAACTATGCGTTTTCCAGCCGACACCATCATCTATAGACGTACACGGCAAGAGGATGGCAGATCCGGGTTGGGCGATTAAACTCGACAAAGGCTAGCAGCAGCGTCGTATGGATAACATTGACATTATCGTGAATGGTATCCGATGGGCGCAAAATGCTTCGCTTGCTCGCCCGTGACATACATGAAATTCAGCGTCAGCGCAGCCTAGACAATGCTGACCCAGAACCAATTCAGAAAGCCATGTGTAGTCCAGCCATGAAGGGTTCCCGCGCCCTCCTTCCACTTTTCAGATATTGTGAGACTATCGCGACCGTATATTTCCGTTCCGGCACGATGCGTCTATGCAGTGGAAAGCTCGAAGCCTGTCGCGTAAATGAGGCAATCGATTCCATTTCTTCCCCGTTCGCAACAACACCTTTTTGGTGATGCGGTCTACGCCGTTGCCTCAGTATCGGCGAGCTTGACATTTGGCCGGTTAAAGGCTTGCAGATACTCCTCGTGAAAGCAGGGCCGCTTACAAAACTGGTTGTACCAAGGCTTCAGCGAGTCTGTAGTTTCTTTGTCTTCAACGATACTGTCGACTCGTGCTCGGACTTGTTCCATCTTGTTGAAATCTGAGATTTGACGTTGGGCAGCTAGTTCTACTGGATCCAAGTCAGTGTCTCCATGCTTCTTTCTCGCTAGCAGTTCGCGGAGAATATCAGTCCATATGTGATTAGCGAGGGTATGAGAAGAGGCGCTCGCACGATTGAATCAACGGATGCAGTGGGGAAAGAATAGACGAAGAAGATTGTGGAAGGTATGGCATTACGGACGGATTTTTTTGAGGAATGCACGCCAGGTTATTACAACAGTGAGGGGAAGACGTCGAAATTCGGCGCAAAGAATGCAACATATGCGGGTGGCAGTCCGGCATTCTTAAAGATGTTGACATATTGGAGAGAGAAAGGTAATTTGGCTGGGCTAGGTGTGAGATACTTCCCGAAAGTAAAGGATAAGAAGGTTAGGACCAGGAATTTAACGTCACGGTACGATGATTTACAGGAGAAGGAGCAGGCTGAGATATTTGATCTACTGAAGAGACAGAAGGACAAGATGGCGAAGTTGCTGAGGAAGAGTGCTGAGGCGAAGAGTGTATGAAGAAATCATGCGGACAATAGAGCGAACTAGGTGGCTTTTCTTCTTGACTTCCAGGCCAAGTTTCAGATACACGAACTTCTCTACTACTTTATGTCCTAATGTTAATCCTCATATCCTCTCCCTTCAACTCTATTCAACTAAAACATCTTCCACTGTACTCTCCGGAGTCTTCACATCCAACTCCACCCTTGGCCTTTTAAGCCGCCCCCTTTCCTCTCTCTCAACCTGTTCCACCTCCTCTCTCTCCTTCCTCATAACCTCCACCACAGCATCCACTCCCTTCCACGCAACCTCCTCATCCTGCTTCGGCGTCCCCGTACTGCACCCCACAGCCCCCAACACCCTTCCCTCCTCATCCATAATCGGCACACCCCCCCCAATGGTACAAAACCTTCCACCGTTGCTCCCATTAATTCCGTAAGCTGCACCCCCTGGCCATACATTCTCGCGGTAGGAAGAGGTTGGGGTCCGGTGTCCCGCTGCTGTGAAGGCTTTGTCTAGAGCAATGGAGATCGAGGTGAGTTTTGCGCCGTCCATACGCGTGAAGCAGAGAAGATGCAGGGAAGAGTCGACGATGGCGATGTTCATGGGGACAGAGATACGGTGGGCGTGGTGTTCGGCTGCGGAAAGGGCTATACGGGCACCAGCGAGTGTTAGGGTGGGGATCTGGGTGGCTAAAGAGGGGATTGAGGGCATGGTTGTCTCGGGAGGTTGTTTTGAGGCTGGCTTGTGCAGCATAGAGAGAAATGAGCTTTCGGAGATGGCAAGTCCCTTTTCTTGACAAAGGGGGCAGAAGTGTTATAATGCGAGAAGTAGAAGATACGATGCTGATAAATTGTAAATGTTCCCCGCAATACTTTCCATCTGATAATAATTTTCGACCATATTGCATTTGTATATTCTCCACATGCCCCCAAACACACTCCTTTCCTTCAAAGACATCACCGTGCTAATGCTGAATGTGCCCTAGGTTAGTTTCGTCAGATGCCTGAAATATCCGTTGGTCGCGCCCCACAATTGGAGGGGCAGGGTTAGCATACCCGATTGGGAATTGTGATACAGCAACTTGGTGTTTTGCGAGCGAACAAGTGTCGCCTTTCTAGATATGGTTGTAATTGAAATGAGGGCTTGAGGTAGTGCTGGTGAGTTTACCTCAATTGGTGAAGAGATTCCCGAAAGGGGCCTGGGTTTACCGGGAGTATCCAGGGTGTGAGCTTTGGTGAAGAGCCACGGCGGCGCCCTGAGACAGAAAGGCTTGACACTTGAAGGATCGGTATGTGTACACACGCCCTGGGACGTGGAGAAAGACGCAGGAAGGTATCGAGGAACCAAGTCCAGGCGTCCAGGAGAATCCCGTGACTCTCCTTCCTTATCCGGTTAGCACCCATCGGAATTTCTCGCTTCTTCGCGCTGGTTGTGGTCACTACGCTTCCAAGGCTCACTCTCCACCACCCGTTTCATCGAATTCATCGAAATGTATTTGGAAAAGGTATAATTTCTCGGCCTCTATGGAATTATGCATGCCATCTTCCCCTTAAACGTCAAACGCCTTGACAGGAGCGGTGGACTTGGCAAATTCTGCCTTCTAAGCGTCCATCCGACCGGTATTATCCCCATCACCTTCTCCGTACTGTCTTTGAACGAGTTTCTCAATCTCAGCAATGGTGTCCCCCAGTGATGGAGATTCTTTCAGGATGCTTGTGAAAGCCCTGTTTCCAGCATCGTAACAGATATCCATATCATCACCTTTCATCCTTGCCATGCAACTACATGCGCTCCATGGCATCTCGCACGCAGAGAAATTTCAGTCGTAATCTTTCCTCTAATTGGCCGCTAGTAGGGGCTGCCTTCGGTCGTGATAACGAGGTCGCATCGATCCTTGAAAGCCCGGTCGAGGTCCAAGCAATCGCTGACGGCTTCGCTCCAAGGACGCAGGTTGGCGCCAAGAAGTATCAACCCAGCTTCAAATCTTATGGACGTTCAACAGCTTTTAATTTCATAATGAGTCTCAACAATTTTCCCCCCTATAGTCAGGGTGGCACTAGGATTATGTACTTGATGTGTTTCGTTGACGAAGAGTGAGACGAAAATGCTTCTCTTGGCTCCCTTTATGCTACCGCTATGCCCAAATAACCTTATTCCACCTTAGGCCTGGAGATTACCGGTTGCTACGTCAAGATCATTGGGCATGTATAATTGTGGACGAATGCCTCGATGTTTCACACCATTGTCATCACCAATCGCATTCACTTATTACCCTTTTCTCTTAGAGCACATCGCCAATCATCAACAAGGAATGGGGATCTTACCAGCTTCAACAACTTTCCTTCGAATCTTTAGACAACAAACCCACTCAACTGGTCGTGGAAGGGGAAACGGGTTATCGCCATACCATTCATTATGTTCACACTCATCTCGTTTTTCTCATCGACAATAACCACTCCTGCACTCGAGGACATCAGTAACCAATGCAACATTGCCTGAGGCATCATGTAGCGGCTCATTTGTCAATGTTCCTTCTAGGCTGTGCACTCGGACCCCTTGTAATGGCATCATTGTCCGAGATCTATAGAGAGCGATGGTCTCGAAGGCCCGTTTAATGTATCTCATTTTAACCCCAGCGTGAGACTTCGCGCGGGGCAGGCACCAAATTCTTGTCTTCCGTTTCCTAAGCAGCATCGGTGGACGCTCGCCTCAGGGGGTTGGTATATCCTACAAGGAAATCTCTACATGTCTTCAATCATGAATGCTACTGATGGCTTCAATAGTTGTGCAATGGGGCTCTCACCTCCACCTGGTAAAGTTAGAAGAATGGGGCACAGTCTAAATTATCTACAACATGTTGACTTTCATCAGGTCGTGTATCGCACCAATATGCGGAGCCTCTATCTCCGAGAATATCACACCGCGCTGGATCTTCTGGTTTAGTTCGATATTTGACGTCTTCGTTCAAATCCTAGCCCTCATTATCCTTAGCGAGATCTTCGCACAGACGACCTCAGCCAGAAAAGCAGAAAGTTAAGAAAACAGACCAGAGTGGATCAATGCCGAGGACAACACGGATGAAGGGTGGCAACATTTTGAAGAGAACATTGATTCTACTGCTCATTATTATGTATACTCGTCCTACCGTCCAAGCACCACTAGTCGATTATGCTTATCTATACGGCAAAAGGTCTCTCATCCTGTCCACCAGCTCTCCCCTAATATCGGTTGCTTAGTCCTCCTCATCAGCCTCATTATTAACCTTTGGTGATCTCTGTCTTTTCCAGTTGATATATACTCATCCAAGTATTGTTGATAGATTTCTCTGCCGATGCACAAATCTGTCACACCTGCGGAGAAGTCTAGTTCAGGCCGAGTATATGTAAACCCCGATACATTTAGCTTGCAGTAGTAAACGCTGACTTTGCATTGGCTAGTCCTCGGGAAAAAAGTGTACGTTTTTGCTGCGAACTCCCCCATGAATCAAACACTTCATCTTGATTTCTTCCCTTCTCTTCGCTTTCAGATCCACCCACTCCCTCAGGGTATCCTTGACCCTCTTTTCATCATGGAACGGCCACCGAAGGATATTTCCTAGAGATATCCTCGCTAGAGGGTGCAGAATCGGTGTTTGAGAGTTAGTGTCGGTTCACCACACAGTGCACCGAGCAACGAGGGACACAAAGCCTGATCAGGCGGTCTGCCCTTAGACTGCTTGCCGGAGTCAGTATCTTGTAAGCGGCACCTTTTCTCAAGCCGGTCGTGTGCTTCCTCCAGTATGGAGGCAATTTGGCAGGAATATTTACTCACGAAGCCAGTCCCTCAAAATCTGAGCCCTGGAGACCGGGTTCCTGAGCCTACCGGGGAAGAAAGTGAGCGTTTCCATATGCTACGGTGGAAATTTTTGATGGGCAGGCCCTCAAATCACGTGCGTATAAGAAAAGGAAGAACAGCGAATGTGTCTCGAATCCTGTAACCTGAAATATCGGCGGGCGGTGATTAGGCTGCTTGAGCGAGAGGAAGGTTATCGCTACTGGAAGTTATTTGGTTACTTCTATTGGAGAGTAAATTTCTGGGCACAGGGCGACAATAAAGGACAAATTGTCATTCATAGAATGAATGATCCTTGGTTACGCGCTTCAGCTATTCTGCATCCCGGTCTCCAGAACACGAATCATAGTGGAGCGAAGGTCGAGGAAATGGATCCTTCAAAATTGGGGGCTGGAATATCGCACTTTATCGGGGATCTTAACGTAACGGTACTGAGCAGTCGCCCACCTTAACAATCGAATGATTATGTATTTTTGTTATAACTCGCTGCTGTACCAGAGCTGGACGCAACGTGCAAAGCGAAGCCTTCTTCACCCTGGGAGAAGTTGTCCTGTTAAGACTCTTTGGGGCTCATTCCCACGCGCCGCACTCATGGAATTGTTGGTACCCGGAAACCAGGAAGAAGCTGTGTAACCACAAAGTTGTACGACACTGTTTAACGATCCCTCCCCGACTCTAATTTGACTTCAGGGTTTTGCCGGTTGTGTCACAATGCCGATCGCTAAAGTGGCACTCGCCGGAGCAGAGCTAACACGACTACTCAAGAGCGGATTTTAGGTGCTGCAACGCCTCAAACCATGACCTGATTTCTTTTCCACATCAGCGCACTGGCTGGGATCTGCGCCGCTGCAAATCCAATCAAGATCTTGAATTGTAGGTCGTACCCACGACTAAATATCTTCGTCAACTCCATTCTAATATCTGCCGGGACGAATTTTATCGCTTCTGTGGATTTTAGAATTACGTCGACTTCTTGTGGCGAAAGGATATGCAGGAAGCGGGCGCGAATGAAGTCGTTGAAGACACTAGAGGCAATGGCGAGACAAAGGGCGCCACCCAGTGTGCGGAACTGGACCATTGATGACATTGCGACAGCTTCACGAAGCGAAAGTGTTAGTTGAAACGTAGAAGGAAGTGCGAACATTGAAAGAATGTGACAGGACATACACTTATCTCTTTCCTCAACCGTGAAAGGCGCCATAACAACCAAGCAAGCCAGGTTAATTCCAACACCCACGCCTGCAACAAACTGGTATCCATACTGCCCATGAAAGGTGGTTGAGGAATCGGGTAGAGTTGAAAGCAGCGCAAACCCGATAATTTGCAAAGCTGAGCCAACAAAGCAGAGATAAACGGGTGGTACTTTGCATTTCTTGCATATCGCTGGTGAGAGAGCAGATCCGAAGGGTGATGCTATGGCGAAGGGAAGGAGGCGTATACCAGCGTCTAGAGAGGAGAGGCCGTTGACAGCTTGGAAGCGCTGCGGGATTTGGATTACGCAGACGGTGAAGGGACCACCTGTTAGGATCATACTCCTGTACGTCGGTGTCAGCTTGAGAGACGAACCGAGCCTAAGGCGGCCGAAATAGACTTACAGGATCATTCCAATCCGTACACGTGATTGCAGAAATCGCCAAGGGAAAATAGGCTCCATGATGCCGCTAGCAAGAGTAACCCGACGCTCCCATACGATGAACACAACCCAGATGAGAATTGAAACGACTAGGAAAGAAATGATGAGAGCTGAGTCCCAGTTCCGGCCTCGAGCAGCTTCTTCGAAAGCAGCGACTAGCAAAATGGAGGCCGCGAGGAGAAGAGTAGTCCCTGCGAAGTCGATACGCTTAAAGTTATTCTTAGAAAGCAGTTTCGTCTTAGTGGAAACGTTTTTTGAGGCAGATGTAGCAATATGATGTGGAAAGCCGTTTGGAACCGTGAGAATCAAGGCTAGTACTGCTACGATTCCAACAGGTACGCTATAAGAAATGGTCAGATCCGCCGTACGTCACTCACGCCTAGAGGGCATACTTGATTAGAAAGATCCATCTCCAAGTCGTCCCATTCGTAATTGCACCTCCAAGTAGAGGTCCCAGCAAGAGTGCAATAGCAAGGACTCCAGAAACTAGACTTGTGTAGGTAGCAAACTTGGCCGGAGGTACTAACTCGAAGAATATCACCACGGTTAACGAATATGTCCCTGCGCCTGCTAGACCTTGGAATGCCCGGAAAACAATACTGCACGTAAATGAGTTTCACTTCGGAGGGATTGTGCACCGAGGAAATGGCTCACAGCTGCTCCGTGGTCTGAGCTGCGCCGCATGCGCCAGAGAAGATGACGAAGAGAAGAATCGAAGACAGGATAAAGAGTTTGCGACCGAAGATGTCACTGAGTTTCGCCCATATTATGAGAAAACCTGTACACATTATCAACGAATCTCCGACTGTTACGAAAGATTTGTTTGATTACCTGTATATGTGAGCATATAAGAGTTGATAATCCAACTGCTTTGCTCAAAGCTTTTCAAGCTGTTTGAAATTGCGACGAGCGAAGTCGCAACAATAGATACTTCCAAACTCGCGAGGAATATACTGAGGCAAAGACTACGTTCTCGATTAGCAGTTGAGCCTGAGGGAATTGATAGAAATGGGAGTCGAACGCGATCGTAATCACATGAAGTCGCCAACCCAGAATATAAGGTGTGGACACAACATCAACATCTTCAGAAGCAACAGTCTCCGGAGCAGGACTTTCAACCTTCGATTCCTCCATCTTCATCGCTGAAGCAAGAAACCGTGAATACCAGATCTGGACGAGAATGTGGGAAGAAAGCTTCGACGTTAGATCGTGGGCGTTTGTGGCTGCAGCGTGCACTGGTCGGGCAGCGGCGGCGGAGTGACCACAGGTCAAAGGATCCACTTTCTTCCAAGAGCGCGAAATGGGCTGAGCAAAATACGGGATGACCCATGCCTCTGTCGAAATGAAACATCGATGTCATGGGAGAGTGTCCATTTGAGAAGGTGCGGTGCAGCGCCTCCAATGTGAATGTGTCCAGGTGCAATTGCTTGCTGCCAATGAGACTTGAAGGATTCCAGACATGCGGACATGGGTTTCTGCATGGGATGGGCGCTGTGGTTGAACACCCGCGCAAGGCACGACAAGGATCCCTCCCTGTGCCCCTGACCCTCTTGACCAACCAATTAATTAATTACCATCCATGCATCTGATCTGATAAACATGCACTGCGGCCGCACCACGCTCTCACGTCAGAACGGGCCATGGCACGCCTTAAAAGAAGGATTTTATCTGCATCGGCCTTCACTGTGGGTATTCTCGTTGCAATATAATCTCGGGGATTAAGAACTTAGGTTGTTCCTAGAAGAAGGAAATGCGTCCTGGGATGTGCAGCTAGCTTTTGCAATGCACAGCCATGGACCCACGATCAGCAGAGCACGGCGCGTTGCTCGTCTCACACAGATGTCTGAGTGTGTGGGGAATGTGGGTGAACGGATGGGTGCTGAGTGTTCGATCGCAAAATTTTTTAAATTTTTTTTGGGCTGAAGGAGTCGAGTTGCAATTGAGACTTTATAATTTGGCATTTGGCATTGTATGTTGGATTACAAGGTGGAAAAAATATGCAGAATTGAAATCGTTGCATTGAACACAGCTTATCTGTAGACTCCAGATTCTGCAAGATTGAAGGACTAAAGCATTCATTCATTGAGCGCGACAATTTTGACAGCATCCCTAAACAAGACGCAGATTTCTAAGACCTCTCACTACCATCTCGTGAAGAAGACGACTTTAATTGATAGCTCCCAGTCTCAAACGTCAAATCCGTCTGTGACAGCGTCTGACCAATGATGACAGTATTGACGGTTTTACCACCACCTCCATGCGCACTCTTCTCGGAATGCGAATGCCATGTTGGGAGAGTCGGATTTGTTTTGTTTGAACTGAAAGGATTGCTAAAACTGGAGAAGACTGAGGGTAACTTCCAGCCCTTTGCTTGGACTAGCTTTGGGAGGGATAGAGTGCATGCTACAATGATGCCTAATGCAATTTCGGCATATGACCACAGGCCCATCCACGCGATGTGGTAAGAGACATCAGAGGTATCAGGTTTGTGAACGATAGCCAAGGTTTCGACGATTCGCATTGCTGAGGCGATGCATGCCCTTTCAGTATGTTAGCAAGGAATCAGCGTATATGGAGGCGAACTTACAAGAGACCCGTAGCAAAGAGAAAGCTGATAGCAACCTTCTTCCTTAGAGGAATGCTAAGTTGCCAAACAGATCGTACCGGCAACAGCAAGATCGCAACATCGGAAATGATATTGAAGTAGCCGGTCGCAAGAACCACCGCGTTGTAGTTCATACAGTGGCCTTCCTGACGCAGTTTATTCCAGATCTTCTCTCGAGGATTACAGGCGAAGATTGTGATGAAAGTGTCAATCGTATAGAATGTGAAGCTGGTTGAGATTATGATCCAAGAACCCCAAAACATGAAAGGGTTCACGGTTCGGTTCGGTGCAAGCATGCGGAGATATTGGACTAGGATGGACATTTTGACGACAAATATAGTCGGACCATAGAGGATCTCAGCATAGTTCATCCACTGCTTATGGTCAGTCTACCGGATATGAGAAAATGGAAGGTATCCGTGCCTTTAGGAGTTCGAATAGGTCCTTGACCTTGATGTGCCATTGATGCACACCAGCGCCATGGTTGAGAGTGGGTCTTCCGATACCAACCTCGGCAGCGAGAAGAGCCTAGAAGATGGTGGTGAGTTGACATGGCGAAGACATGTTACAGTTTTGAGGGTTTCTCTTACAAATGATAGTAGAATCAGATCTGAAATGTGGTGAGCTAGCATCGAGAGCACTATGAAGGGGATACTGACAATCCGACAAGTCTAATTTGTGGACAACGCGTAACTTCGTGTATAATCGAAGGATAATAAAGATGCCAGAGAAGGCGGTACACAACGACACACAGACGTAATACCATAATTGATCACGGGAGTGGACTGTAGGTTGCCAAGTCCCGTCGGAACCACCCGGATAAGGAAGGGCAGGGCCTTCGAGGAGTGCTGCTACCAGGGCAGGATTCAGTTTCATAATGAATAGAGGAGAAGAGAGTGTTCAATCGTAGGTGTCTCGAATATCGCAGGTGTTGAGAGAACAGACTCGAGTTTGATCTGATGTATCCCTTGTGGGCTGCTGACCATTGAAAAGAATAATGAAAACAGCTTCCTCCCAGGCTCATAGTCAAGGTTCATCATAGATGAAACGAATGAATATCTTGAACCCCGATGCACTCATTCCCCATCCGTGTGGCGGTGCCCTGGTCTCGGGGTTTGAGAAGGATGGAACGCACGAGGCTAGCTGCAGGTCAATATGCGCGCCGCACTTTCTGGAAGGGTTCGGCCTCTCCCTCCCGTGTGACCTCTAATTGGCTGGTATACAACCCTGTCGCCAGGCGGCAACGTTCAAACGACCCAGCGGTTAGGCCCCTACTGTCTGATTTCAACGTCGTTATTTTCGATTCTACACTCGTATCTTTCTCTTCTACACCTTCCCCCCATTCTTTTTGATTCCTCAAGACGACGAATATGGCCGGTAGTTCACTGTATATGCCGGTCCCCGAGGACTTCCGGCTGTCTACTTGGTTGGCTATTGGCGCCTGCATTTATGCAATTGCAGAGCGATGGTTTCCATTCTGGGTAGTCGTCCAGTTCCCAATACTGTTACTTGCGGCTCGGACAATCCAGGCAACACTTATGGCTAGAGGTCTGTTGACTAGCGGACGGTCAAACACGGTTCCAGGGCGATATTCAACAAGAATTCCAGCTTCAAATCCAGAGGACCAGGGAATCGTCGTGTTTGTCCTAGGCGCACGAATAAACCAGTATGCCCCACAGGTGTTAAATCTACGACAGCTAGTTTGGGGCTGACGGCTAGTAGCCCTATGGGTCGCTTAGCGCCTGGATTTCTTGACGCAGGAACGATCTTTACGGGTATGTGGCGGGAGTGTAATAGGAACCGCAAGAAATATGGGTGTGAGTTTTTGGAATTCGTCTTGAAGGTCCGAGTTGAAAGTTCACAATAGACCTTGGCAAAACGAGCACTTTAATGGCATCGCAAGAGGAAGGCGGGTTGACAATGGTCTGGCTCACATACTGGAAGACCGTCGAAGGCCTACGGGACTTCGGAGCTAGTGATGCGCATCGCGCCCTTCAAATACCGTGGCTAGCGAAAAAGTATCCATACCTAGGGATTATGCACGAGACGTACTCGGCGCCGAAGGGAAACTGGGAGACCATTTACCATCACTTTCAGCCATTTGGCATGGGTAAGTGGCGAAATTCCGAGATTCTAACATGTAGGTTAACCACCGATGATAGGGAAGACGAAGTTCATGGTTGGGCCAAGTTTGACCGACGACAGCAATGCTGCGGATCGGGAAAAGAGGCTAAGATTTGCCAGTCCGCTCGTCAAGGCAGAAGGTCGCGAAATGAGATCCATGTTCAGCCGGATGGGAAGGGGAGAGGATATCGCATTGGCTCGGTGGAATCCGGAAGCCAAGGACTTCGACGAGTAAGATGCCAGTGGGTCACGTGTACTGGGGTCCCTGGGTGCGTGACTAGCCGCGTGTTTTTGGGGGTCAGAAAACTCATTTTGATGGTGTCATGTAACAGTTGAATGCACATTAAATTCGGCCCGCGGGTTAGACGGCTTCAGTTGCCGCCAAAATGCTACTAAGGCCTCTTGGCTGGTGGTGACAATGCCAATGTCCGCGAGTCGCAATTTCACACTCGCATTCGCTGCGAGCCTTGGAGATGTCGACGTTTGGGGTCGAGATTTTGGAACCCTGTGGTGATGCAGCGGGATAACTAAAGGATGAATGCAGGTTGAGACAGACCATTATGCCAAGACACTAGCGAAGATGCTAAAAATCTTTCGGATCAATCCAATAATCAGCTCATCAATGTAACCACTCACCCACCCATCCTTCACCCCTCCTCATCACTTCACATCTGCACCTCACCTTCCCCATCGAAGGGCCGTTCCGTGTTTCACTTTACAATCAACGCCTTCTCACTTCTTTCTTTAGATCAATATCCCAAATGTCCCCACACCCTCATGCATCCCACAGGGCAGACTCCAAGGCGCCTTCTGGATAAAGAGTTCCATTCTCAACCATTGCCGCTCTCACCTTCTCCGGTCCCGTTTATCATTACGAATCACATCTCCCGGCGGTAGTAGCTGCTGCACCAAACCTCACCGTCATCATGCGAATCCTTTGTCTTCATGGAAGAGGCACTAATGTCGAGGTAATTCAAATGCTGGGGGTTGCTACGCATATTCCCGTCAATTGGAAAATCATGGCTAACGCGTGGAAACTAGATATTCAAGATGCAAAGTGGTGTGTCAGGCGTCTCGCCACTCAGTCGCTAAATCCGCCCGCTTATTTGTCCGAGCAGCATGGATCCGATTCCATCTTTCTAAGAACGGCTGTACGTTCGACTTCCATGAAGGCAGCTTATCTTGCCCTCCAGCACCTGGTGAGCCAATCAAATAGATTTCCCCTCCTTGGGATGCCAAGAGCTCACAATAGCTTGCGAAGAAATTGCGGGAATGCCCGGCGTGTCATCGCAACAGAAATTCTTGTCCTACTTCGACCTTTCCTCTTCAAGGAGCTGTGAGGGCGCTCTAAAGGGTATCGAGGATCATGTTTCCAAAAGTGGACCTTTCGATGCGCTTATGGCTTTTTCCGAAGGCGCAGCCGTTGCATCAACCTTCATTCTAAGTGAAGGTTTGAAAGGCCTGTCCCCTTTCAAAATGGCGATCTTCTTCTGTGGGGGTGTTCCGGCTGACCCCGTGGCCTTGCAGAGGGGCGAGGTACATCTATTAGCACTTGGGGAGAACGAAACGTATTCGATCAAGATCCCGACGGTGCATGTCTATGGTGCCAAGGATCCACGCATGGACGAATTTGGAATTGGTCTCAGTTCAATTTGCCAAGACAATTTGAAGACCGAGATCATCCATGGGGGCGGACATGAGATACCCGGGCGCAAGATGGACGGCATCGTGTCCAGGGTACTGTCAGCCATCCGCGAAGCGAGGGGCAAGGGTGTATCGTCTTGAATTGATTGGGCTTTTAGCTCATCTCTGGAAATGTGCCCACTTTTCACGTGCTTAACGCAGGTACTATCACAGGCGCACACTTATGATGAAATAAATATGGTTCCCACACTCCCAATCCAGGTAGACTTGTCTTTAGGTGATAGCTTTGAAGAGTTCTGGCCTCTCTGACCGAGTCTCATTTCCGTTCAATTCATTTCTGTAGTCCTCCCTTTGTCTTTCCACCTTCAACATGACGATTAACGACACCCGGACTGGGAACAGCATGAACGAAGGGCTATTAAATAGTGCGACTGAACGACAGACTCACAATGGTATTGGCTGTGAGACAAGAACTAGTGTGAAGGATGTGTTGGATCCAATCGCGATTATCGGATTCTCCTTTCGATTTCCCCAGGACGCGACATCAACAGAAGCCTTTTGGCGGATGTTGGTGGAAAAAAGAAACGCCATGACTGAATGGCCTGAAGAGCGATTGAATCTGGATTCATTTTATCACCCTGAAAACGGGCGCAAAGGAAATGTGCGACATATTTCCTCTTTTTTTCTAGCGTTGTCAAGTCTAAATCAGCAGCAGTTTCCAGTTCGTGGCGCTCATTTCTTGAATGAGAACCCTGAGGCATTTGACGCACCATTCTTTTCGATCACCACAAAAGAAGCGTGCTCAATGGATCCCCAGCAGCGCGGTCTGCTAGAAACAGCATACACCGCGCTTGAAAATGGTACCCCAAACCTATTCTTTCATTTACCCTATCTGCAGCATCATTTTTACCTGAACTGGAACGTAACTATAGTACTTCCACGCAGAAATTCGAATCTTATCAGCATTCTGTCTTATTGTAGTAAGGGTGTATGGGATGAGATCTACCCTAATTTTGTCCCACATGATATGAAAAAAAAAAGCTGTAAAGTTCGGAGCTGACTGATAGTCCAGCTGGTATAACGATGGACGCCGCCTACGGCTCGAAGACCTCAGTATTCACCGGATGTTTTCATGACGACTACAAATCCATTACCGGGAAAGACCCAGAGGACTTTCCAACATATGCAGCTACCGGTCTTTCGCAAGCAATGCTCGCTAATCGTATTAGTTGGTTCTTTAATCTAACTGGAACTAGCGTAAACCTAGATTCTGCATGCTCGAGCAGCATGATTGCACTTGACATGGCAGTTCAGGGACTACGGTCAGGGGATTCAGGCATGGTGCGCACACTCGAATTACTATCATTTAGATGCCCAGACTCATTTCTCGACAGGCTTTAGTGGGGGGAACCAACTCCATACTAGGCCCTGATTCCTTCCTCTCACTTACAAATATGAACTTTCTTTCCCATGACAGTCTCTCATACAGCTTTGACGAGAGGGGAAATGGTTACAGCAAGGGCGAAGGCCATTGTGTTATCATTCTCAAGCGAGTTTCTGATGCCATCCGCGATGGGAACACCATCCGCGCAGTAATTAGATCTACGGGCTCTAACCAGGACGGACACACTCCAGGAATCACCCAGCCAAGTGCTACAGCGCAAGAAACACTCATACGAGATACTTATCGCAAGGCAGGCCTTGATCTTGTATCGACGAAGTATGTCGAAGCACATGGCACTGGCACTGCCGTTGGGTAAGTTCTTCTAGCGTGCGGCATTCGGCAGGTTTAGCTAACTCGTCTATCTAGCGACCCCCTCGAAGCAAGCGCCATCTCCAACTGCTTTGGCAACCCGGATACCAATCACCCAGTCTACATGTAATCATACCATATGTCCCTTTCCCAGTTTCCTTGAACTAATTAGGGATCAGTGGAGCAGTTAAATCAAATATTGGACATCTTGAAGGTGCCAGCGGGTTGGCGGGCATTATCAAGACTGTGCTAATATTAGAGAGGGGTGTGATACCCCCAAATGCCAATTTTGAAAATCTTAACCCTAAGATTAATTTTGGCTCCTCTAATGTCAAGGTAAGTATTTGATGCTTGGTTAATCCACATTGCTAATGATTGGTAGATCTCAGAGCAATGCGTCCCCTGGCCTACTTCAGGCCTTCGCAGAGCATCGGTTAATTGCTTCGGCTTTGGTGGAGCCAACTCACATGCCGTTTTGGAAGATGCCTACCACTTCCTTCGCCTTCGAGGCCTGAGGGGGTTTCATTGCACAACAGTGTCTCCTCCTTCCTTGGATGAGGTATGTCGCGCCCAACGACAGATTGACACACCGTATCTGTCGACCTGGGGCAAGGAGAAGGCGTCTGCCTGGCGTACGAAAAACGCCTATCCCCAGATATACGTATTTTCAACTGCAGATGAAGGCGGATTGACCAGACTCTCCACCTCCTACAACGATTACCTCATGCATGTCATGGCTACCTGCAAAAAGGACGCCATTGGCCCTTTCCTGGAGAGCTTAGCCTATACGCTCAGTGAGCGCCGCACTAAGCTTCCTTGGAGGTCGTTCGCGCTTGCAAATAGCATCGAAGAACTGCGCGAACTGAAGATTTCACCTGCCGTTCGTTCGAAGACAATGCCCAGGATGGGGTTCATATTTTCGGGCCAAGGCGCCCAATTTGCTGGCATGGGCAAAAACCTACTCGGTTACCCTGTCTTCAAAGCTAGCGTCTTGCGATCGCAGACTTTTTTGCAAGACCTTGGCTGCCCCTGGACTATCACTGGTAAGTCTGATAAAAAATGCTCTCTCGAACGTCCATTGATGAAGTGATGCAGAAGAGTTTCTCCGAGGGAAGGCTACATCAAATATCAATCTACCTGAATATAGTCAGCCACTCTGCACTGTTCTTCAGATTGCATTGGTAGACCTGTTTAGAGATATTAACTTGGTGCCTTCCACTGTCGCTGGCCACTCTTCAGGGGAAATTGCCGCTGCGTGAGTTGATTTTATGGCAGTCCCTTTTAAATGCTGACATTTTCTTGTTAGTTACTGCATTGGCGCTCTCTCTCACCGATCTGCCATCAAAGTTGCGTTCTTTCGCGGCATGGCTGCAGAATCGCTCAGAACCTCTGGGAGTGTTCGTGGCTCAATGATTGCAGTAGGTTTGTCGTGCGAGGCCGTCAGCAAATACCTACCCTTAGATAACAGCATCTGTGTGGCTTGCATCAACAGCCCCGAAAGTGTAACTCTTAGTGGTGATGACTGCTCGATGCCAGATCTCAAGGCAAGTTTAGATCAAGACGGGGTATTTGCGCGAAAACTCCAGGTCGACGTTGCATACCATTCTCACCATATGGAACAAATTGCTGACTCTTATGGTCGGTCTCTCCATGATCTTGAAAGAGGGGAGTTTACCGACATTCAAATGGTTTCATCGGTTACCGGGAAAGCAATCAGTCGAGAACGACTGTGCACTCGAGAATACTGGGTCAAAAACATGGTCTCACCTGTCCGCTTCCATGAGGCGGCTACTAAAATCGCTGCCGGATTCGCGGCGCTCGGTAAACCTGGTGTAAAGACAGCAGTTCCAGGTGTCAGCAGTCTTTTGGAAATTGGGCCGCATTCTGCGCTCAAGAAGCCCGTTGAAGATATCCTCAAAGCAATTGAACACCCCCCAGACATCGCGTATTACTCCGCCTTAACCCGAGGGCAACCTGATTTCCAAACGTTAGCTGCCACGATTGGGCATCTTTTCTGTCGTGGACACTCTCTCAGCATCGACCGTTTTAATCGACCAGCATGCACCGAGTCCAGCCCAACTCTCGCTAGTGCGCCTGAATACCCTTTCAATCATTCCCAAAAGTACTGGCGCGAAAGCAGGCTCAGCAAAGAAGGCTATCGATTCCGAAAAGCGCCTCCGCTTGATCTCCTTGGAACTCCAGTTCCAGATTGGAATCCACAGGAAGCACGATGGCGGAGATTCATGAAAGTGTCGCAGCTGCCTTGGATTCAGGATCATATCATTAATGGTACGGCAATCTACCCTGCTACCGGGATGATTGTCATGGCAATCGAAGGTATACGCCAACTCTCTGGTACAAGGCGGCCACGAGCTGGGTATTCTCTTGAGAATGTAACTTTCCATCGCCCTATTACGGTACGCCAGGGTGAAGACGGCGTCGAGACGGAACTCTATCTTCGATCGCTTGGAAACCCTTCCGATAAAGAACGCACCTGGTCTGAGTTCAGGGTCTTCTCTTTCGATAACGGAGACTGCGTAGAACACTGCCGTGGGAATATTCGCGTGGACTTTACCGATTCCACCGACGAGGCCCATTTCGCCAAAGAGATTATGGAAAAGACAAAAGCACATAGGGCTCAATACCAAAACATGGTGGATCGATGCACCCGGCCTGTTCACTCGCAGACCATATACGATCATCTTAACACCTGTGGATATGAATACGGGTCGGCATTCCAAGCCCTTGACGATGTTCACGGAAGTACAGACACCGAATCTGTGGCGACCGTCAAGGTATTTGACTGGAATGCAAAAGAAACTGCCAACCATGTGCAGCCTCATGTCATTCACCCCGTCACGCTCGATGCGGCTGCACAGCTCATGCTCGTAGCGCTAGCAAAGACTGGTCTGGACGTTATTCCAACGACGATTCCTACCCGAGTGTCGAAACTTTGGGTCTCGGAGACGGGGTTAAACTGCTTCGACGCGAAGAAAGTCCTTGCATACTCTCGGGCCAAGTACAATGGAAAGCGCAAGGCAGAGTCGCGGACGGTTATATTAGACGATCAACTCGAGAAGATATTGGCCGTCATGGATGTCGAGACTACGACTGTGGCAACGCAAGCTGAGGTAGAAGAGTCTACGGCTTCTTCTCAACTCTGCTACCGCTTTATTTCGGAACCGGACATTGACCTTCTAGACAAAAAACAGTTCAACGCGATTTGCGAAACAACTCGTTCTGCCCGGATTCCTCCCACGGAATACTTTGCTAAACTGGAAGTTGCTCAGCGCTCTCTGATGGAAGAAGCACTAGGTGCAATTGATGAACACGCAATCAAGACCACGAAAGCACACTATCAGTCATATATGAACTGGATGCGCGAGAGGGTTACGGAAATCCCACTCAAATCACCTCCCCATTTACAAGTTAGCGAGAAGTACGAATCACCCGAGCAGCTGTACCAATCCGTTGAAAGCTACAATGCCCAGGGTAAACTCTTCATGACCATCGGCAGAGCTCTCAAGGACATCCTTGAAGGAACAGTTGATCCCCTCCAGGTCCTTTTCGACAGCGATCTTGGCTCAAAGTACTACGAAGCGTGCAATCGGGAGGTGCTTTGCAACGAACCGCTTATTCAGACTCTGCAGCTCGTTTCGCACAAGAACCCTCAGCTGAAGATTCTTGAGATTGGTGCTGGAACTGGAGCGGCAACAACGACGGTCCTGGAGGCACTTACGAGCGAAAATGGCGAATCGAGATTTGCATCGTACGACTATACAGACGTGTCCCCTGTTTTCTTCGGTGCTGCGGAAAATACTTTCAAGGCCCATTCGTCAAAGATGAATTTCCGAATGCTAGATATCGAGTACGACCCGCTCACACAGGGCTACGACGCTGGCGCCTATGACATCATTGTCGCTGGCGGCGTTCTCCATGCAACTAAGAACCTCGAGATGACTCTCACATATGTCCGGTCCCTCCTGAAGCCCAGTGGAAGGCTTATCCTATACGAAGTCGTCCGAAATGCTGACCGAGTCCAGTTTGCGTTTGGCTTGCTTCCAGGTTGGTGGCTAAGTGAGGAAGAAGATCGCGTCAATGGGCCATGTGTGGGGGTGGAAAGATGGGACCAACTTCTGAGGAAGACTGGATTCTCTGGAGTTGACGTGGATATCCCAGACTTTCTGAATGATAGTTGCCATGAATTCAGCATCATGCTCTCGACCGCAGTCCAGCCTGAGGAGGACGCCTCGGCGGATAATTCCGACGTCATCCTGATACTCGGAGAGGACACCGTCGCACACTTTGGACTCGCGAAGGAACTCAGGGGGGCATTAGAAGCTCATGGCACCTCTCGGTGCGCAATTCTTTCACTTGAGCAGGCAGCAACATATTCCGCCCTGGCGCAGTCTTTCTGCATCTTCCTGACTGACCTTGACCGCTCCTTTCTCGCGAACCTGAATCCTTCCACTTTCCACCAGCTACAGCAGATGATTACGCAAACTCGCAAGCTGTTGTGGGTGTCTGCAAGCGAGAGTAAAGCATCGAACCCCGAATCCTCCATGCTCGAGGGCTTTTCTAGAGTTCTCCACTCAGAATTCAGCGCGCTACAATTGAGCATTCTGGCTTTAGATGGAGCTGTTAAGAACAACAGTAGCCACGTCAGGGCTATCATGAAAATCGTGAAAGAGCTTTTGAGGCTCGGAAACAGCGACTGGGAGCCAGAGTATGTCGTCCAAAATGACATCATCCACACCCGCCGCCTCGTGGATGACAAGTCGTTGACCGCACACATCAACGTATCTCATCAGCCGACCCAGACCCAGAGGCAACCCTTTGGTAGCGGACTACCTCTGATGATGAATATTGGCACTCCTGGTCTCCTAGACACACTTGAATTCATAGAAGACCCCGATTACCAAAAGCCTCTGGGAACAAACGACATCGAAATTGTTGTGAAAGCCACCGGCATCAATTTCCGCGACTGTCTCACTGCGCTTGGGCAAATCGATGGCAAGGTCCTCGGTGGCGAATGTTCTGGTGTTGTTTCCCGAGTCGGAGAATCAGCAGCCGTAGACTTCAAACCAGGAGATCGTGTTATTGCCTGCGAAGTGAACACCTTCCGCACCCTGACACGATGCATCCCAGACCGCGTCACCAAAATGCCAGACCAGATGTCCTTCGCGGAAGCTGCTTCGATTCCAATCACGTTCATCACGGCTTACTATTCCTTCTATAAGATTGCACAGTTGCAACCTGGAGAATCGGTTTTGATTCACCTTGGTGCGGGCGGGACTGGTCAGGCTGCTATCCAGATTGCGAAACATATCGGCGCTACAATTTATACGACAGTTGGGTCTGAGAAAAAGAAGCAGATGCTCATCAATGAATACGGCATCCCTTCAGATCACATATTCTTCTCCCGCAATACCTCCTTTGCTGACGCCGTCAAGCGCAAAACTCACGGCCGAGGCGTCGACGTTGTGCTCAATTCCCTGGCTGGTGACTCTATGTACGCGTCTTGGGACTGTGTTGCTCCATTTGGCCGATTCGTTGAGATTGGAAAACGAGACGTGCTGGAAAGGTCAAAGCTTCCGATGTTTAACTTTAATCAGAACATATCGTTTTCCGTGGTTGACTTATCGATTATCTTACTGGAGCGACCTTGGCTGGCGAAAGAGTCGTTAGTGCAAGTTTTGGAGATGATGACGAAGGGTGTATTGCATGTGTCTAAACCTTTGACGGTGTATGGGGTTGGGGAGGTTGAGGGGGCGTTTAGAAGCCTACAGAGTGGGAATAGTATGGGGAAGATGGTGGTGGAGCTACGGTCAGATGACGTCGTCAAGGTTAGTATAGTCACGCCCATATCGTGTCGGAAGCTGACACATTCTCAGACCAACCTACACTCCAAAGCCTCTTGTAATTTCCAAGAAAACGCCAGCTACCTCATCGCCGGCGGTCTTGGAGGCCTCGGCAGGAGTGTTGCTCGCTGGATGGCGTCACGTGGAGCACGAAACCTAATCCTCCTTTCTCGCAACGGCCCCAAAACCCCAGAAGCTATCCAACTCATCTCCGAACTCCACAATAAAGGCGTCCGAGTTGAGGCCCCAGCGTGCGATATTCTCTCCACAGACTCCCTCCTCCAAACCCTAGAGCACTGCACACAAACAATGCCGCCAATCCGCGGCTGCGTACAAAGCTCCATGGTGCTCAAAGACGCGATCTTTGAGAAAATGGGATTCGATGATTGGAAGACTTCAGTGGATCCAAAAGTTACAGGATCTTGGAATTTACATTGCCTGCTGCCTTCGAATCTGGATTTTTTCCTCTTCTTGTCGTCTGTATCCGGCATCACCGGGCTCGGTGGCCAAACAAATTACGCCGCTGGTAACACATATATCGATGCACTTGCCAAACACCGTCTTATGCACGGCCAGCACGCAACTACACTTAATTTGGGGTGGATGGTATCGGAGGGTATTGTTGCTGGGAATGAGTTCCTAGAACAGCGGTTGAGAGCCATCGGATATTTTATCCCGATCTCGGTGGAGGAATTCCATTCCTTGCTTGATGTCCACTGTGACGTCCGCAGATGCAGTGCGATGCAGCTATCGGATTCCCAAAGCATAATAGGCCTTGAAACCCCGCTGAGAATGAAACTCAAAAGCGCAGCAGTTCCGGATTGGATGGCGAGGAAAACTTTCGCACATATGAAAGACTCCCACCTCACTTCCTCCACCTCCACATCCTCTTCTCGTCCCCCCTTCTCTACCCTTCTCCAGGCCTCCCAATCTGTCTCTGAAGCCGCGAGAATTGTCGCACAAGGGCTAGTAGAGAAAATATCCAATGCGGTAGGAATTCCAGAGGGTGAGATTGATACCAGTAAACCGCTCTATGAATATGGGGTCGATAGTTTGTTAGCAATTGAGGTAAGGAATTGGGCAATGAAGGAGTGTGGGGCTGAGGTAGCGGTGTTTGAGATTATGGATGAGGCGAGCTTTTTGGTTGTTGGGGAGAGAGTGGCGGGGAAAAGTCGGTTTTGTGGAGAGTTGGTATGAATGGTTCGTGTATCCTCACTCTTCGCTGTACAGGAAAAAAATATTTTCTTAGTTGCCGTAATAGCCCAGAGAAGTTGCATAGGTCAACTCTTTGCATTGAAGTTAGCAGGAGTCTCCTGCACCCCTCGCAATGCAGACTCCATTTACGATATAAATCTTTCTTATATACTGTAACGGGCCCCCGGACGCGAGCTGTGTATAATTCGGCCGAAATGCTTTACGATTGTGCCCCAGAATCGAATGACAAGTTCAGTTGAAATAAGCTGTCATCTTTGACAATACCATAGGATCAAACTTTCGCTTCCGCAAAAGGTAGAAATTGTTCGATGGCCTTGTATTTTGAAACGACCATTTACTCAACGGATCTCCTTTGGCGATTTGCATTCGCATAGGCGGAAATCTCGAATTGGGCTTCACGATCGCTAGATCCACTGCAGTCCCTAAAGGGGTGTCAGGCACTGCCCTCAATTGCTTTATGCGGAAACTGGGGCTTTAATATGCAAATCGTCACTCCGCAGAAACGTGAGGGATGGCTAGAGTTGTGGTGATAAGCTATATTTCTAACACCATCTTCCCTTGCTGTAAGAGTGTTTTCCTAATGCCAAGATGTCTGGGGAAAAGTGGACAGTTGAACGGCACGCATCCTCTATGAAATATGCTCCCCGAGCATATGTGTAATAACCCATTAGCGGAACTTTGCCTCCTCTTCATTCGATGAGCGGATGAATCATTTTACAGTCGAGATGGGAAACTTGGAAGTAGTCCGGCGCAGGGTCCTGCAAAACGCAGGTTTTCAGTCCCTTAGCGGCACCTCGAATTCATATTGCATCTGAAGGAACCTTTGAAATCGTTAAAGGCCACGAAAATTGATATATGGGGAATTCTCTTAAACTCTGTTTCTCTCAATTTTACAATGTCTTGACGAACGCTGCTAGATTTTGACGACCTACTGCTCGGCAAATCCAGTCCGCCTAAAATATATGGGGTTCCCAAGCGAGCGCGATGAGATATTGTTTGCAGTGATGACACTCGGATGCATCGTCAGCATAGTCACACGATAGTCGGATGTGTCGGATGTGTCGTCACACGATGGTCGGATGCATCGGCAGATGCATCAGCACCCAGTGTGTCCAACCGTTAGTACACCTAATAGTACAGTACTGCAGTACACTGATTTTGGTCACGTACGTACGTACAGGGCATCTACTCAGTATACTGTACTATACATGAGGCTGCTGTACTAACCGTTTACGGTAGTTATATAGGATTTTTGGTGGTTTTGGGCGGTTGAAGGCAGGTTGCTGAGGGCCAGGGGGCTCGTGTTCGGAGATTAATGCGGAGAATGCCGTTATTGCCTGTTTTGTTAGCAATCTTCTAACAAATTCAGCAACTATGCCATCTACGTTATTCTTTTGCCCGTTATGATGTCCCAATTCCTATCCCAATCAACAACGCGGTCGACAATAGAGGCTCTTCAACTGCAGAAGAATTAGTTACGTAACAACGCTGTTACTAGTGAGCTAACTAAGCTTACAGAGTACATTAAAACAGTAAGATCAACAACAGTAGATCTCACAAGGGGTATCACAACTTCCTAATTAGGTATAGTCTTTAGCTTCAGCGCAATTACTTCATAATACTTCAATATACTTCAGTTACTGTATCCTAACCGTACACTGACGTCATCTCCTCCGTACAGTTAGTTAGTAACAGCCTCCTCTTCCGTAACTGTACTATACAGCCTCCAAAAGGCTCCGTAACTAACGGTTGGACACACTGTCAGCACCATAGTCTGTTGCCAAGACCCACCCACTTATTTCGCATATATATAGGCTCCTGCCAAGGACTCCTCTAGCAATACATTCAATGCAGTTCCTCATGCCTCTGGTGCCTCACATAGCTTCACAGATAGGCATGCTGAATCAGATCACACTAGATGTAGTTGCTACTGTAGCGTAATAAAGCAAACGGCTCGACTGGACGCTCGAAAAGCTCACGTTTCCAGCCTTCGACTGCCAAAAATTCCACTATGATACCATCAAGAAAGCACACATGATAATATAGCTTATTCTATTACCTTATATATTTATATATAGAATAATTATACTAAGCTATTATAGTTCAAGTTACAAAAAGAAATTTACTTTTATTATAAAACTACGTTTTATACTATGGGACCTCTTCTCGTTTGCTTCTTCAGTGGTCTCGGGTTCACCACTTGTATCATCATCCTACCGCAGCACTATCAGGTGGTCTTTCGAGACTCACCACCGATAGCTGGCTACCATCTCCTCGTCATGACCCTCGTCACGCCTCTAGGCTCCGCGGTTGCGGGGGTTTTTCTGCAAAAGCTTCGATCACTGCCCTTATACATCTTACTTTCTAGTTCCACCTTCATCATAGTTGGGACGGGTCTCTCGACAATGACTACACATACGTCCGATACGTTTCCCGCATCCGAGTATGGGTACTAAATTATCATGGGATTCGGATTTGGCATCAATTTAGCAACGATTTTCATGGCTGTGCCTCTCGCGTTTACGTCGCAAGACTTAGATTAGTGTGTTTCTATCGTCAAATCGGGGGAGGTGCTAGCGAGCTTCAGCGGTCGACATGGGAATCAGCAACCAACTTCGCGTCCTCGGCGGGAGTATCGGAATTGCCATCTGCGCTAACATCCTAACAACTATCTCACAGACTGACTCGAAGAGATCCTTGACCCAGTGCATATGAAAGCGCCGCTGGCCTCTGCGCAGAAAATGGCATTAATCCCGCCGCAGGTCTTCTAGTAACTCTCCTAATGGTTGAAAAGCGGCCAAAATTACAGCACTAAGATTCTGTCGGTAGCATGCTAAAATTATATAAATTCCAAATTAAATATGCGGCATTGTTCCGACCTTATTGGGCCGATGTTTAATCCCTGTGTGGCGTATAGCCTCGATAATTCAGAGCTTTGTCTGCCCAAGTGGCACAGCTCAGCATGTGGGTGCCCACCCGCTCCAGAGCTCTGCCTCTGCGCTTGATCGCTTCTTCTCAGAACTTCTCTCTGCTTGTTGAAATTTCTGGTCAGGATAAGCTTAAGGTATAATCCTACCAATCTGACTTCATTGCGATTGGGATAAGCGATATTTCACGATGAATTCGCAATCGAGACTCATTGATACTCTTCCCCCGGCGAATAGGCAGAAGCCAATGGAGGTGCTAGCTTTGGGATTCAGTAGAACTGGTGTGTCCCTGTTTCTGCGTCGACAAATCGCTCGCTGATCCTTGCTAGGAACAATGTGTACGTTCCGGTGCCTTTGACCTTGAAATTGAAGCTTATTTTGGAAGCTCTGAAGAGAGCACTCGAGAAGCTTGGATATAGCGTATATCATATGGAAGAGTGTGTCACTAGGTGGCAGGAAAAGCATATACACCTTTTTGAAGAAGCCACCAGAGCGAAGTTGCTTGGCCAGGGTGAACTGTGGACTGGTGCTGAACTTGATAAAGTTCTTCAGAATTACACGGTCAGTACGGCTAACCTGGCAAAGCTCTGTTGCCAACTTGATTTTCTCTCCAGGCGGTTGAAGATATCCCTTGTCTCCACTTCGTCGACGAGCTCATAGAGTATTATCCGGAAGCGAAGGTCATACTGACCACACGAGACATCGACTCTTGGCAGAAGTCGGTAGAGAATTCGATCTTCACGATCGTCAAGATGCGGATACTTCCATTTATGAGCGCCATAGACCCGGTAAGATCCTTAGACCCGGACTCAAAATTTATCACCATTAACTTCGTTGCGCAATAGCTTCTATGGCGACCATATTTCTTTCTTCTCAAGTCGAGCGTAGATGCATGGACGGATGGTGACATCTCAAACACAGAGGCTTTGCGACGCTCCTACACGGAGCACTACGCACATGTACGCTCAAAGATACCCCAAGAAAGATTGCTAAGCTTTCACCCGAAAGACGGCTGGGTGCCGCTTTGCGATTTCCTAGGAAAAGAGGTTCCTAAGGATGAGCCGTTCCCACGGGTTAACGATGCTGCATCGACTGTGAACCTACACTACTTTATTGTGGTCTTGAGGCTATGGCACATCGGACGGAAGTACTTTGGAATGGCTGCTGTCGTGGGTATCGCGTATGGGCTAGCGCGCTGGTCAAGGAAGTAAATAGAGGCTTCATTACGTAGTTTTGAAATGGCATTTCACAGTAGGCAGAGAAGGCCACAGGTTGGTGAATCGAGCTATCAGAGGTCATACAACAATCTTTGGCTGAGTATGTCGAATCAGCAACGAGGATTATGTTCAGACGTTGCTCCCGGCGCGGCGGGTCGACGGAGTATGCGTGGCGTTTTCGAATTCGAGCGGACGCAAGAGGACCGCGGGCAGGTTAACAGAACATGAGTATCGAGAAATTTTTCGATAGAGTTGCATAAGGATCGGCCGCCTGAGTGGAGCGGGCCAGTCGTTTTGCAGGTCGAGTGTTCTCGGGTGTAGCGGCAGAGCGATTTGCAGAGCTAGTCGAGCGCGCGCTTTCCCAGCATGAGAGAATGGAGATAAGGTGGAAAATATGGAAGAATAATGTGAGATGCAGCGAGGACGAGGAGATAGATGTTGAGAGACGGCGGTTGATGGGCTGTTGTTGTTGTTGTCGTCGTGAAATTAACTGGTCGTTGGAGTAGAGCAAGACGCCAAGTCACGTGCCCACTACACTAGCCACGTTAGACCACGGGAGTGCTTCCGCGAGTGGGTTTTGGAAGAGATATCTAAATCTGGGAACAGAAACTCGCGTTATGGCTGTCTAGGCTAGGAAGTGACCACATTAAATACCCTTGTTCTAACTGTTCCGTATCTAGAGATCTGATCGCCATGATATCTCTTAGCGCCCACCCGCCACAAATGGCGATATCTAATGTCTATTTCAACCCTATTCCTTCTCTATGCCAGAATAAATTCAACGCTCCTGAGACAAGGTCGTGGCCGGAGCGGGTTGGCCGTCTTCCCTTTAAGCGTGATTGGGAGTTCGTCCACTCTTCAAAAACGTAACCATGTTCTGTCTCGTCGCTTGTGAGTTCGCCTTCCGCTAAAGTATAACTGCTGCCTGTTTGCCTTGCCCTGCTACGCTGGAGACTGTCTAAATCAGCCGTACCTTGCTGAAGTTAAGGTCGCGTTAACTCCCTTCTCACAAAGCCCCCGGCATGCTAAGTCACAGCAGAATCCGCTTACAGCAATGTTTATGTCTTGCTTGTAGATCTAATCTTTTGGTATAGCTTAATACCCTATCTTCAGACTGTTTGCGAACATTTATAGTCAACACTCCTGTTCTCAACAGATTAGGCAGTTAGGCTGCTTGTCTCTTCTACTTGGCTGCCATCTTCAGCCCCTAATATCCTTTTTTTTAACCATCTTCTCGCCCGAAGCAGAGCAATGCGACCTCTAGAATATAACGTCGCTAACGAGTTCAGCCTCACTAAGGACTTTGTAGGCGACAACCTAGTCTATCCCTATGCGATCTTCTTAGCGTAGTTTAATTAAAACTTTATACTTGCCCTGCTTTAGACGCTTACTAATAAATTAGCAGCGTAGCTTAAATTAACTAGGTAAATGGCTTATTTAAAGTTCTTTTATGCGTAGTTGAGAAACAAGTCATAAAAGGAGTTTTGTATTATAGACTAGTTAAAGGTCGAAGGAGACATATAATTTATATAGTATTAATGGACGCTAAGCCCAAGGTGGATTGGGCAGCCCATTATAGAGCCCTTCGGCTTACAGCATCAGTCCACGGCGAAGGTAAGATCCGGAGATTCGATGTCATCGGAGAACCTGAGATTGTTTCAACATCGGCCACACACTGGCCCGTGCGCCAAACCATTATCGTGGACTTCCTTATTCAACAAGTAACTTACTCCGCCTTAAGCTAAAATTACCGAAACCTCGACACCAAGATCTAAGCGATACTGTAGGAGCTTGTATAAGCCTTGTCATCTAGGCCATTTCAGGGTCTCTGAAAGCCACCCCAGTTGGTGCCAAGTTTTCCCACCTTCCTCTCCCAACGATCACTCACTTGCTTTTAAATTTCTTCAGAGAGACCGTTTCTGCTCCCCGTATGGAAAGCCACTCCCTTTACTTTCTTTATCATTTAGATCACCTTGAGAAATATAAACTTCGTGGTTGTAGTCGCTCCATTATGGACCAATCAGGTTGCAATAATGCGTATTCAGCTCGCTGGAAGTCGGCAGATTCGCCATCGCAATAATTCATTGCCGACTAAATTATGTTTTCTTGTTCAGCTGAATTCCTTTTCAGGCCGCGGCAAGGCCTTTAAAACCAACCATTCTCATTTCCGTACCCATCGGACGCCTTACATAATATAACATAGTCCGCTAACAGGGGCGGGCATCCTGCAACTGAGGCTCCCTCATCCTTCGGCCTAAGGCGAGACTTCTATTCGCGAGTTATTTGGACAGATATAAGTCGACTGTGCCACCTCTCCTGGACAGCAATCTAGCCATCGTAGTGCATCCATTCATTCTTTTACCGTTTCGGTTCTATTCACTCCTTTTTGCAAACTGGTTTCATCTTCCCAGTCACTCATTTAACCATATACTACCCGTTATGTTCTCTCGCGGCATTATATTTGCTGTGGCTCTTCAGGCGGCTCTTGCATCCGCAACCCAAGTCGGACCAACACGTGTCTCCGAATTCCTAGAAACGAACATCACCGACCACGACTCCACCCTCCATAACCGCGCTGCTCTTGGTACAGCCATTGTATCCAATCGCTGTGATCATGATATTTGGCTTTGGTCCGTAGACGAGCGTGTATGCTTTGCCTTTTCCCCTGTCTCATACACCCACCATCTAACCCCGATTTCACCAGACCAACAAGGGCCCCATCAAGATCCCCAAACGCAGCAAATACAGCGAGCCTATGCGAAACCCTTGCAATGGCTGCGGTATATCTTTGAAGATCTCTAACTCCAATCAATTACAGGGGGGAAAGCAAACGCAGTTTGAGTATGCAATTGCGAACAATCAGATATACTATGACATCAGCTTCGTCGACTGCGCCAAGGGAAATAATGCCGATAACTGCCCCGGTCATGCACATGGCTTGCGCATTGATAGCCCTCAGGTATGTGAGCTCCTTTTAATTACTGTGGAGAAGGCTAACCTGTCGAAAGAAGTCATGTGGAGTCTTAAACTGTGCTAGTGGGGCTTATTGCGTCCACGATGCTTATTATGTCGACGACCCACTGGCGAAGATGGGAATTAAAGCCCCTGTGCTGGGATGTGGCCCTGGAAAGACTAACATGGACCTGTACTTCAAGGTGTGCTCTGATATGGCGCCACTAAAGAGAGAAGTGTCGAGTGTAGCGGGACGAATTGTGGTTGAGAAAGAGATCGATTTTTGAGATACCCTCTTCTTGCAGCATCATGGTACTTGCACTTTCATTCGCCCCGCTTATGTTCGTTCATGTTCGTGTTCTAGTTAGCACGTTATGTTCTTCTTATCAAATACTTTTACTTTCGATCATTTACTATCAACCTCCTTTACTTAGGCTCAACCCCTTCAACCTAACTCTTCTTCCCGTTACCAGTACTGCATCATCATACAGCATCGTAAGTTTTATCACACCCCCAAGCACATTAACATCCAAATCCCACCAGCGCAAACGCTCAGCACCATCCGCCAACCGCGCCGCCCCACTCCTGCAAAACTCATAATTCATCCCGACAACCGCATACATTTCATTCATACCCCCTCTAAACCTAGACAAGGAAATAGCATTCGGACCAACAACCCAGCCAGCCTCTGCGACTCAACTAGCCTTCGGCCCCATAAATTTCGAAGTCGCCCACGTCCAAAATCGGGTTGGATAGTTGATGGTTGACGGTTGGTGGCTGATGGTTGATGGTTGATGGCGGATGGCTGATGGTTGATGGCTGATGACTGTTAGTTGATTTTTGAGGGCTGGTGGTTGAAGAGTGTGAATTTCAGTGGCCTGTGGGCTGGTAGTCGAGTGTAAACAGATTAATCTAATATCTCGGCACTGTATGTGACAAGTTACCTTTGAAGTACTCGTACAATAACTTAACTAAAAATAGCATAACTAGCCTATAATACGAACAAGGTTATCCTCGCATATCAAAATCTTTTTTGTCAATCCGATGTGGTAGTCAAAAAGAGGATCAAGATTAACGTTTACACGAGGGGCCTCTGATAAAAACTCAGCCCCCCACCCATCGCACCGCTGTTACCAGAGCCCGTCACCAAAAGTGAAGGGGGCTTAAAACAACCAAAAGCTAGTATAAGTAGCACCACCTACCTGAATAGAATGTTGTAAATATTCCTGACTACCATTTCGGAATGCGAGTCACAACCAAACTGCATTTTCACGTTGCTTCGTCTTCCACGTCTAAGTGTCATTTTCAGCCCATGTAGACCTGTTTTATTCATATTGCTCAACGCGAATTTCTCTCTAGAAATAAAGCATGGACTGGACAGTGGCTCATGTCTTTTCGCTATCGCAATCATTCTTCGTCTATGTCCTCACATTCTATTGCGTGGCTTTCAAAGGCGGGACGAAATGGTCCACTCTGGCCCTCTGGACCACTCACCTGATTTTGCAAGGCACCCAGCAGGAGCAGGGCTGTCACAAAAATAGGTATAAAACTAAGTTGAAATCATGTCGCCCCACATGACGCTACAAAGCTGCTCTGTGCAATCTTCACTGCTGCCCAAGTATTTTATAACCGTAACCAACGTATCTCTTGCATGAATTCCAGCGAAGGCGGCAATGAATTGGGCCAAACCACTTCATAAGGGGAGAGACGGAAATAAATAAGACAGTTGAGAGACACGCACCAGCCAGCGACGCGGGCAAGGCAGAGCGCGGCGGTCGCGACGATAGGTTCGAGAAAAACGCGGACGGTGTGCTCGTTGGGGAGGAAGGTGTCTACATTGGCTTGTTTTCTCGGGGAGTGGGATTCTATCGTACATGACTCCGTGTCATGTGACTCTGCGAGAAAATGGTTACATGGTAGTATTGGTTATCGAATCTTATTTTCCTATTTGAGACTGTCGTGTACCAAGTGAGAAAAGTCAGGGCGATTGACTGGATACGTCATGAAAATAATACGCTTTCCAACCACCCTCCCTTACAAGTAAAGAGCTTAGGAACTAAACGAACTTAGTTTACTTTGGAGAGTTTTTATATTTAGTGCACCTCCCACTATCTAAGAGTAAACGTCTCAACCCCATTCCAATCACCCACTCCTTCCCCATCCATAGCCCCAAAAACATAACACTCCCCCACCAATTCCCAGACCCCCTCCACATCTCCCTCCCCACCCCCAACCCTCCTAACCACACCCGGCACCCTCCCACCTCCAAACACGACTACTACATCCCCCTCTTTACTATCTACCGGACAGACTCCTACCCACCCCTCCTTCGTCCCAAACCCCCGACAATCAAACATCCTTCTCACCCGCCCAATAAATGAGTTCAGTGCGGGCCTTGCTTCATCGTGCTTCTTATACCACTCTGTATTCTCATCTAACAAGCTCCGTAGAGCCTGGTATCCATCTTTCGCAGCGAGGGTCGCGCGACGCGGCCAGTTCGCTACACCGCCCTGCTCGAGGTCGCAGATAGGAATGCGCCAGATGGCTTCTTCCTTCTCGTCTGAGGCATAACGAGAGCTTTGGGAGACATAGGTGCAGATATCAGTCAGGAAGGTGGAAAGTTGGACAGTGTGGGAAGCGATGCCTTCCGCAGCGTTGATAAAGTCTTCTGTCCAGGTTTGGCCAAGGCAATTGATTGTTGCAAGACGAATGCCAGATATGTGCATGAGGATTTGCGTAGGGTTGGGGGTGGCCTGGGAGAAAGAGATTGTGGCAGGGTATGAGCCGCAAGCGTTAAAGAGCTGGTCTTCTTGATATCGAGTCCAGGGTTCCTGGTTTGGTGCTTCCCAGTCAGGGACCCATGATGGTAGTGAGCTTCCTATTTCTTTTGTTCGTTTGCGGCACAGGCTTAAGATGTCGAGGTGTCCGTGACTCAGTAATGCCTTTGCAGTAGAAATATATGAATCTGCGCATTTCCCACGGGAATAGTCCGGTATGATTGATTGTGCAACTTCATCGTTAGCGATTCCGAGCAGTGAGTACACGCGATCAACGGGTAGAGTGGCATTAATGCGCTTGCCATCCGTCTTTAGGACGTTAACCCGACATAGCAAACTCTTTAAAGAAAGTCTTTCATCCCTAGGTCGATAGAGGTGAATCCTTCGAATCCCAATAGTCGCTGTTGGTAGCATGGTACTAATTCCTTCCAGTTGAGCTCTCGTTCGCGTATCAACCCTTTCATCACCGGTGTGGTGATTATGCGAAGCCCAGCTACTAAAAAGACTGACGAAAAACGCTGTGCCCCAGAACCGCTGAAACCCAACGGTTTTCTTCCCGCATTGGAATATTACCTCCTTTCCATTTGAACATTCCTGCAAACACCAAGCACGTGAAAACCATGGCCGCGAACTGAGGTCCGAGTGCCGCCAGAAGAGCGGGTCTTTGCCTTGTTGAAGCCATGCGACGAATTGGTGCATGTATCTCTTAATCTCTCGTTTTACGGGCGCAAGTTCTAACTCTTCTTCTTCATCTACGGTTTCATCCCAGGTATCCCATTTCCCCACATGCTCGGCTTTAAGTTTCTCAATACCCATTGCCAGTAACGACTCGCCTAGTTTATCGAGCCAGTACATCGCTGTGTCTGTCTGCGGTGTGGAGGAGCCTAGCCATACGACGACGCCGACAGCGTGGCGATAGATGTCGCGCATGAGCTGCACCTGCGTAGATTTCTCGTTGTCGTCGGTTTGGTTGATGCAGATTGCGTCGATCCAGAGGATAAGCTCTTCGGGTCCTTGTAGATGTTGTAATGCGACGTATAGATTCTCACCTACAGGGAAGGAATGTTCGTTGATTTTGATGGTCCGTTGAGAGGGTTGGGTGCCCCATACATACGAGAGAGCGATGTATTTGGGAGTCGAGACGAGCGGGGCTTGGGAAATTGTGCAAGTGGGGGTGTTCTCCTGGTATGATTCAGAGAGTTGGGTAGGAAGAAGATGGAGAAGACGAATCTCTCGAAGCGATGGATCGAGAAGACTGTACTGATATGAAGTATGGGGCGCTGAGGGAGAAGACATCCTGAATGAGGAGAGATACTTTCAAGTGTCGAACTGGACTTTCGTTGGGAATGGAGTTGCTGTCTAGGGAGTTGAGAGTGTGAGCAGGTAGGGTTCTCTTTCGTTCAAAAACATAACTAGGGCAACCGTGTGTAAGGTGTGGCAAGTGCCGCAGTATCATGCAGGTTTACGCTCCGGGCGGAACCTTGAGGATGGGAGTCCGCACGCACAGCATGGCTACACGATCGCCGACAAAATCCGATGCATTCCACAGGCAGATTTGGGCATTCGTTGCGGGTACTCTAGGTGTTGCCGATTAGTTCGAACTGATCCGACACTACGACCCGGTGGACATGAGCTTTGACTTGAGCGTTAGGAAGTTGTAGCTACAGTTGAGATTGAAGACGGCGACGTACCCACCAACCAACCCACCAATAAGAACACTCCGAACAAAAAGCCACTAATTCATCGCCAGCCCCTCTCTCTACTCATTTTCGAGTTACATACTCCACCACGGGGATCTTCTCCTTCAAAACAAATTCTCCGCTCTCCTTCCAAAAATAAAGACACCTTGCCCCCAGCGGCAAAACTTCCTCCAGTAAAAACACACGCCATACGGCGTGTATACTGCTAATTTAAGGCCAATACTTCTTATCCAAATGTCATCAAATCATCGCCGCCATTCCAGGCCTCAAACGCTGCGATCTCGGCGAAATGTGAGGGCAGGATTGCTTGAGAGGGGACGGGGATGGGGAGGGACTGAGGTATTTTTCATGCTGATATAAGTAATGAGCCGCGTTTGCGGCGCCGATAGAGTATGGAGAATGAGATGAGCAGACGAGGGTGATTATAAGCAAATCAATGACTTCGAGATTAGGTAAGTTATGGCTGTGTTGTGGGCTTCAGTGTTAGCGCGACGGTTTCCCTTTTTGGAGGGCACGGATTCGTGAGTTTCTATGAGTCTTTTCGTTATCATCTTTGTAGTGGGTGCAAAGGGCATCCATCTAGAGAAATATTGGTACTGTTAGATAAGGGGGTCTGGGTAATGGTTTCCAGAGTACCTCGGTGACGAGTCAGATTTGGCTCTGTAGAATAACTGGTACCATATGCGGGGTGTCCTCGATATATTTTCCATCAGAGTACGATCGAGCATTGCATGTAAGAACCTCGGATGATTCTAGGCAAACAAACTAACATTGGAGTGGCGCACCAATTTCCTTCAACAGCTCGAGTCTCAGGAGGTGAATTGACTCTGCTCCATGTAGCTTGGGATATGTTCGCGTCTTTAACGGGTTGAAGATTTAGCTAAAGGAGATTCTGGAATGGTCTCAAGGCTGTCCGAGGTCCTGAGCTTTCCAGAAGACCGTTCTCTTCACGCATTGGCTCCAAATCCTTCTCCTCGTTATTTCCCTGGCGAGTAGTAAATATTTCGTCATACTCTGGATATGTTTTTCCAGTGAGAAACTGCCATGATTGGGGATTCGAAGCAAGAGTTTAAGAGATTATATCAGAGCAAGCGCAAAGACACAGTGGAGGGAAGCCCTAGGTCTTCGGTAGCTGAGAGGGGATTTCCGACGCCACTATTAATTCCACCATCAAGTCCTTAAAAGCTTCCTGGGTGCTAGCTGTAGGCTGTTCTAGGCTATTCCAACGCGCTACCATTACTAGCCTAAAGAATACTCTAATATGAAGAGAGCTTACGAGGGTCACCATGGTGCAGGAACTGAGACACACGATGCCATTGCGGAACAGTAGTAATGGCCTTCGCTTGTGATACTTCATCTAAGGCGGCTGTTACGCACTAATCGTGCCATATGTTACCATATATTTCCAGGAGTTCCTCATCCCCTCGGATCTTCACAAATCGAGACAAGTCGACCTTTTTTCTAGCTTTGGCATACTCGGGATTTTGAGATACGGGTCTTCTTCCCATCGACATCTCGGTGATTTTCGCACCGGGGGCACCTCCGTAGTTAGCTACACGAATAGCTAAATCTAATACGGAGGTTCCTCCAACGGACTTCCCTGGGGAGGGGATATTTTCTAGAAGAAAGTATACTATCTCAAGATCGTTAAGCAATCGCAAGTGGTTATTCTGGTCCGGCTCTAGTGGCATTTCATATAGAAAGTAATCTTTATTCACAACCATCAGCAATGCCATATTCTGGATAGTGTTGCATACATTTTGGTCTGCGAGCCCGATGAGTAGTTCTAAGGTAGGTTACCACGACGCTTTATCGCAAGGATAGATGGATGTTCTGTCCCGTGCAGATGGGTGGAATGTGGTGGAAGGATAGTAAGTATTCCACTATCCTAGGCTTCTTCGCCACATAGGTAAGTTGAAGGCTTTTGGGAGAATATTGTAGAATGTTAAGGGAAGCGGCTTGACCTCGATAGGCAGTAGCGAATGCGACCTCAGGATCGCCCAGGATTTTTTCTGTCCAGTCTGATCTTGTGATGGTTGTACTGACTATTGTATAATCTCTACCCCCCGCATTCGACTTTCTAATTCTGTTAAGATCTTTCCTAGCTTGAGTATTACCCTTGTTCCATGGACAGGGCAATTGATTGCATAATTGCGCAAAAGAGGGATGCGCCTCTGTTATACAGCTTCTAAAATAGGGTCGATATCGCAATAGAGTCGCTATATCGGAAACTCGGTGTTTATACCGACTTCCGTGACTGTAATGGGAGACGAGCCTTTCGAAGCAGCGTTCAGGCAGCCATGTGAAACCGAGAGTAGAAAATCTTGCATGAGCTGAGGAGGGTCATATGGGAAGCGAGTCGACAAGGTAGTGAGATCCAAACAAAGTGGATTGAACGAGACTATATACTGTACGAGAGAGGAGCTATGCCTAATGAGTGAATAGTGCAGTACATGGGTATGATATCGCGTGAGACACGTGCGACAGAAAAGACCTCCTCGGGCAGCAGTATTCAAACCACTGCTGCCGTTAACCCAAGTTCCGGCACCTAGAGAGAAAATGGATTTTAGGTAGATTCCAGTCTTAGCAAGGAATTTGCAAGATTGTAAACACAATGTTCGACTTCTAATCATCCTCAAATTGCCGACACCATCCGCCCCTCAATCAATCTTTCACACAACCTTTATTCTCGAATCTCACTCCCTCACTCCCTCACTCCCTAACAATCTAACATAAGTGATTTCCACTAGCCGTATACGGCGGGCCCCCAACATTCGTATTCTACGTCTAGTCGAAAACCCCATGTGGCGTAACATAAGAAATATACATCGAAGCGTAGCGTCTCGGGCTCGAATTATCGCTAATAGTGAGGCTATAGCCGCCGGGACAAGAAAATTCACTCCAAACGCCACCTTCTTGGCTTCTTATGCAAACGGTACCTTGGCAGATTTGCTGGTTGTCGTCGTTGAAGTAGGTCGCCATACAGCCATTGCCTAGGTTGATGGAGTAGTTGTAGTTTAGGCATGCGAGAGTCGGGTAGAGGAAGGAGGGGCCGAGAGCGGCGAGAATGAAGACGCGCATCGTGGTGTGGGTTAGTTGGAAGAGAAAGAAAGAGAGAGTTGTGTGAAGATGATGAGTTGAACGAATACGTTTAAGGCTAGGTTCATCCTCGTAGATAGAGGAGTTGAGCTTGCCTCGCAAGCATCGCAAAAGCGGTAGAGACGACGCTATCATACTTCACTTCGTCCACCTCTTTTGTCCACCCTCGAAACCATGCCTGGTCGAGAAGAAACGAGCCAAAATGCGAGCCGCGGAAAAGGCTTAATGATGTAGTCATCCATCAGGATCCAGGATGCGATCTTAGGGCAAGTTGGTGAGATTTTCTCATTGCATCGCCCGCAGAATCGCCTAATGTAATACACTGGCGCCGTAAGCTCGTCTCATGGGTAGAGAAGAGGAGCAGGACAGAAATACTCACGCCTACTGTGGAATATTAGCAGGGTAGGTTTGATCGGTTGAACCTCTTGCTGAAATTAGGAAGGACGTCGACAGGACCCCGATTGCTGCCCTAAAATAGCCCACTATGTTTCAAATAGTCGAGAACGTTAACAAGCTCCTTTTTCCACAGAAACTCCACTCGTGCGGTTAAGACAAAAACACAATGCCTCTCCAAAAAGGAATATAGACCAAGGAAGGTTAGATATAGTTATCTGCGCCAGGTTTCTTTAGCGCTAAGCTTTCCGGACCTAAAGTTGTCGAAAAGCTCTCTCCAGGCGCATGCAACCTATCGCAGGGTTAGAGCTGATTGATGGTGGAGAGCATGGAGCAGTCAATTAGGTAATGAGAGACGACCTAGGTAGATTGAGGTGAGGTCTAAGGTGTCTGGGGCGAGAGAGAGATCAGGGGTAAATATATAGTAGCTAAAAAGAGTGCTAGTCCTAAACAAGAAAAGAGTAAGAGGTGAAGGACCCACCCTGCGCGGGGTCACGTGAACCAGTTTCACGTGCGACACAACCGTGCAGCAATCCTGCACACCTAATATCCTAATCGAGTAATAGCTTCCTCACTCTCCTTGGTGGGGATTTGGCTTATCCTTTTCATATCATCCGCACCCTTCCGACCTGATCACTTCCAGCTTCGTTTCCCTCCATAGCCGCTTCTGTTTTCGCATTGAATGTGAATGCGGCCGTATATTTCCAACCCTAATCGCATCCTTCGAATAAATTCTTGCCGGAGTTTCGATCTTTCCTGTATCTTCTGGATATGGCGGGCTCGATTTCCAGGTTTTGAAAATTAAGTGTAAGGGGGTTCCTATATATCTCTTGTTAGCATCCTGACCAATACATTTCCGAACTACTAGGATATGGGTTCTCTATTGCGTCTCACAAGGTGGACCCCTTCGTCTTCCCCCTTTTCAAGCCCTCAAATTTGTAAGAAGAAGTACCAAGATCTGTACACTGTCTTCTCCTTTGTAACTCTCTACACAAAACCTTGCCCAATTTCACGTTAAAAATGGTTGGTTTTTATGGTCTCGAAGCCTTTAGCTCGTGCGGCGTGTGCAAGGGAAATCTTTTTTTCTTACTAGCTATAGGACTTTGCACGAGGGGGCGCACCCAGTCCGGCGCGATTTAGTGACACATGCCGAATACTATCCACTATTCCGGCCGGTGCGTGGGCAATAAGTCCCTCATTCCAAGGGTGTTGTTGCAAATAGAGAGGTTGTGTGAGCATACAGCTATGTAAGAAGCTCATGAAGTGAAGTCCTTTTTCGTACAGTATATAGCCACCCCAGAGCTCCAAAGTACAGACAAAACACTTAACTTCATCAGCCTCTTACATAGCTGCATGCTTACACTACCTCTCTATTTACAACAGCCATTGCAATAGCCGAGGAGCTATAATGAAGGTAGTAGGAGCTATAGTAATAGCAGTAGGTGCCATAGTAAAGGCAGTAGGGGCTTGTGGCACAGGGAAGGAATATTTCCGTATTAGGAATGCGACAGGTGCTGGCAGCTGCGTCTCCACGCCCTCTTGTTTACCGCAATCATTACCATAGTATCCGCCACCCCTACTTCCACCAGCAATCTTGAAGCCAAAAGCCCTCGATGCTGCAGCATCTGCGAGCTCACAAACTGTGGTGGTCTTGGATTATGCTACTATGATAACGGCTGCAAAATCTGTCTTCCGGTCTGCTAAAATGGAGGTCAGGGTAAACACTCAAGGTCTTCCAGGGTTCGTTGAATCTGCATATTTTTCTGGGTGTGAAATAATCTGACTGGGGGTAGGATTGTCTGGCTGTCGTAACTTATTTGGCGTGGTTGTTTAAGAGAGAGGAAGGTAAAGAGTGGGATTAAAGATGAGGGGCTACATAACCCAAGAATGTGAAATTCAACCGGAATAAGAAGAGATAAGAAGGAGAGAATTTATGCTGTGAAGCCTCCCATTGTGATGGTGAAACCGCAAGGCACCCTATGACATCACACAAGCGACTGTATCTCTTCTATGCTGGATGACCATTCTCAAAGTGAGCAGGGCTTGAAAGATGCCGCAGCATTATTTCTGCAGGATTTAGGACATAATATCTTGTTTAAGCCGATTTACATTTCACGGTAAAATCTCTCCTACAGACAAAATATAAAGACTTTGCCAAGTGCGCCAAGTGCGCCACATGCAAATTGAGCGCGACGAGCCCCTACCCCACCGCCCAACACCTAACTCCTCTTCGCCGCAGACCAAATTCAACACCTTCCATCAACTCCTCGGTTATCACAAGTCGGGATAATGCTCGTGGTGTAGGAGGTGCAGCTACTCTCATACGTTTGTGTAGTGATTGTACTCGTCATTTCGACAACGGTGTAGACCGGACTGTACCAGAGGGAGGTCGTCGTGAAGACAATTGTTGCAGTCGGAAAGCATGCTGAAGTCGCGAAGAATGAAGGCGTTGGGATGAAGGCGGTAGTCATCGCCAGATCTGTTGCAATGGCTTCGACAGAAGGCTGTACGGCATCGGGGCCTCGAGGCATGGCAAGGGCAGAAGCACTCGATAGAAGGGCTGCCGTGAGAGAAATGATCTTCATTGGGATAAATGAAGAGGTTGAATTAGGGAAGGTTTGAAGTTAAAAGAAGGACGCGAGGTGATCAAATTGGCTGGAATGAATTTGACGAAATGAATGACAGACTTGCTGAGAAAATTTGAAGGAAAGACTAGTATTGGCAAGCTCATACAGCGGTGCTATCAAGTTGTTTTATACTTCTCCTTGTGACTTCGAGGCGGCTAAAGAGAGGGCAACCCCGGTCCTCCAAGACAGTGAATTCGAATTAGCTGTCCGAGCTAGTAGCATCTAGCTCCAGTACCAAGAAATCTAGCCTAGGAGTAAATGAGTGAGCGAAGTTAAGGACGACGACAATAGGGCTGTGGCTTGAAGAGGGCTAAGGTAGTCTGGGGATTCCGGACCACTCGTTGGAAAGCGGCTTTGTGCTCGGTCGATGATTGGGCCAGAATGCGGCTGAAGTCACCAGCGAAGCTGAAGCTCATCGTCCACCCCGACATCCAGAATGGAGAAAACTTGCTAAGGCACATGGGGCTGAGAGTTCTGATTGAGATTCTTAACATCTTGAAATGCGTCGTGGGATGGAGGGTTGAAGGGGAACAGGGGGCCCTCGATGCTATCCACGCCATCACAAATAGAGAGCGGTACCACAACTCTAATTGCTCTGTTTGAAACTGTTGACAGTAGGAAGCCCTCTCCTGTCTCTGTGGCGTTCGCGGTGTGACCTTTTGACATGAAGTTAGCTCTCGTGTACAAAGACTGTAGAGCCTATCTTCATATCAGCCGCTTTGACAAGCATTGTAGCTCAATAATGGAAGGGTATGAAAGAGACCCGATACATTATCGCAAGTCGGGATGAGAGAACGACGGTGTTTATGACGGGAGTGGTGTGAAAGAAGTGTGAGAAGCTTCGAAGAGGTTGAAAGGTGTCGGATGATCCTTATCGATATCGCGAGGAGTCGACCAATCAGCGTCAAGCGCAGCCGCATCACAGCCAGAGCCTCGCAGCCCTCGCAGAACTCTTCAACTTCACCCACTTCATCTACACCCAGCATGGCCATCTTAACCTTGTCTAAGAAACTCCTCATGATGGAGAGAGGCTCAAATGAAGCATCAAAGCAGATCTCGAGATCGTGGGGCTTTGAGACGTCTATTGACGTCATCCCCCGCTCGAGAGGTAAACCGTTGAGTTTCATCATCACCAGACCTCCCTCCTCTTCAAGATCACTCCACCATTCCACCATAGCCCGTGACACAACTAGTCTTCCACGTAGATAAATACCGCCTCTTGTCAACTTCATGAACCACTTTAGCAACACCACAAAAGAAACCACCAGCACTAATAATCCCAACATGGGCCAACTTAACTCGAAATTGGGCTCCGGCGCTGAGCAGGACCGGTACGGCTCGCACTTTGGAGTTGGCCATGATGGCATCGAGAAAATGAAACACGTCGCCGAATTCAAAGGAACTGGGGCCGAGCAAGAGCGTTATGAGAGCCACTTTGGCCTTGATCAAGACAAGGTTAAGGCCGCGACGCACGACCTCCTACACCGAAATGGATCAGGCGCTGAGCAAGACCGATACGAGGGACACTTCGGCCTCGGCGCTGATGGGGTCGAGAGAGCCAAACAACTCGCAAGCATGAAGGGTGTGGGCGCTGAGCAAGTATGTGCTCTCCGGTTTCTAACGTAACTCGTCTCACGTGCACTATAGGATCGGTATGGGGCGCACTTCAGTCTCGACCGAAGAAGTTAAGTCTGAAAATCTGTCGAACCAATGCAGAAGAGCGTCAAGGAGAATTCTCAGAAGAAATAAGCCCTTAGCTTCACCTAGGGCGAATGAGACACGGCTGGACACGACCCCCACACTACCCAATGTACAACAAAATTCAGAACTGCTCTGAACTCCAAATTTTAAACGAACTCCAAACAAATTTCTTTGCCTTAAAGCCTCCGTTAACCGCTTGTGCATTTCTTGGTGTCAAATTGCAGGTCAACCACAAAACTCTGCCCACCAATATGTACCTGCAGTCTCCTAGAAGGCCCACTTCCCTCCGCGGGTCAAATCCCGCAACCGGCCGGACTATCTGCAGGAACTAATTTTTGACAGCTATTTTTGATGCTTTTCTTACGTTTTACAAACTTTTCCGGTCAGATTTATTGCTCAGTCAGCTCCATGACATGCAGTTCATCTAATTCGACCAATCAGCGCTGAAGTCGTACCTCCATATCCTGCACAGAATTCTCTGCGGTGCCTCACCAAAGCGGTAATGTTCCCCTGATATGGAACATAATTCCCCAGATGAGCTCAGAATAAGCTATCATCTTCCAGGAAAAGATTTTCGCTAGCTTTCAGCCACTACCGTTTTCCCCATACATGCCATCTCGTGCCTACTCTTGGAAGATGGAGTCAGCTTCATATCCAGATCCGCCCCTCATTCGACTCTGGAGGAGACGTAACTGACAAATGCAAAGTGCCTTTCTATTCCTGGGTTGCATGACCACCATTTACACATGGCGTGAAGCAAAGCTGGAATGTATGTCAAATAAAGGCAATTGATAACTCAGGGCTCCAACTCTCCATCCATCATATAAGAATGGTTGCCCTCCCGAACGAGAACTAACTCCTCACGGCTGAAGTGCTACCCCTATCAAGAACACCAACGATCCTCTCCAATCTTCGACAACCATCACCATCACCACCATGAAGCTCACACTCGTTCTAAGTTCTCTCCTCATCACCCTTGCTACCGCTGCCCCTCTCGAAGCCCGAGCCGGTAAGCTCACCCCTTTCCTTTCCTCCCCACGGTCTAACCCCCCAGGCACGATCCGCGTCCAGATGTCAAACGACGCAACCGACACCGCAGTGCAAGCCAACATCAACGCAAACGGCAGCAAGGCTAGCATCAAATCGGCATTTGGCAATCTCGGCAATCCCGTGCAAGCAAACCGTGCGTTCATCGTCTCTGGGTCTGGTTCCTGCAAGGTGTTCTCGGATGCTGCAGCTACGAAGCAGGTTGGAGGAACGCTGAATTCAAATGGGAATAATGTGGATTTGACGGGTGGGAAAGGGGGTGTGGTGAATTTGAATAACGGGGTTATTGTTTGTCAGTGAGCGGGATCTGGTTGGTTTTTGGGGTGTCCACCATTGCATCAGCTATGACTGTTGGGCTTTTGAGTTCCTCCTAACTCTATTTTCGGGATGGACATGTGATTTCCCAAATGCATGTCACCTTCCCAAACGAAGTTCCCGGGAACATAAACCTCAGAATCTTGGCACAATTCCTGAAAGATATGTATCACCAAGACCGTTCAAGTATACGATCTGTGAGAAATCCAATTTACCTTACATTTTAACAAAACTTCGTCCGTCTAAATAGTCTCAATATTGCATGTATGAGTACGCCGTATCTATCGCATCTCTAGTCTAACAATGGGCTCACCTCCACGTTCCGACTTCGTCCGATAGGCATCACCATTCCTTCGGCCTTGTTTAGTCGTTTGTTAGAATCCTCCATCTCTCAAAAAATCAAATCAGGAAATCCACACTGATGACATTTCGCCGCGGAAATTCCCTCAGCTCCACTTAGTTCTCTCCAGACTTGGCAACAATTAAGTCAACTTGTTAACTTAACTTAATTAACTTAATAGTATTAAGTTAATTAAGTTAAGCATAGAAGCTAAATTTATTAAGTTAATTAAGCAAATCTTGCTTACTTAATTAACTTAATTAACAGACTTAATAAGCTGCAATATTATAGGTTTTACTAGGGGATTACTAAAGGTTACAGTATCTTCTAGTACGTAGAGTAGTAAATTCTAGTTACAGCTACTAAGGTAGTACCTTACTGCCTACCTAATAGAGCTTAGCGTCTTCTATTCTGCTAACATAAAAGCTTACTGCCTACTTAGTAGAGCTTAGTGCCTATTTAAACTTATTATAACTTTAACATGTTATCTTGCCTACTTTACTAACACTTATCTCTATTAATACTAATACCCTCTTTATTAATATAGCGTTGCCTAATTATATAGAGGGCATAAATAGTAACTTTATCTAAGTTTTTAGCTAGCAGCTTAAAAGCATAGTGTTATAAACTATTTTTAAAGATAGCGCTACTAATATAGCTACTAACACATTACTAAAGCTTAACGCTAATAAAAGCTTTATAAGTAAGTTATAATTAACTACTAATAGTAATATTAATAATAATAATAATAATAATTATAATAGCATTAACTAGCTATGCTTATTAAGTTATTATAAGCTACCCTACACACTAAAGCGCAGTTAAAAGAGCTAGGTTTAGCAATATAGATATTGCCTTTAGCATTAAAAGCAACAACGCCTATATTAGCTTTACTATTACTACTATACTTATAAGTAACTTAATAGCTTTTATTAAGCTAATTTATTAACTATATTAATTACACGCTATTTTAGAGAGCATAAAGCTAGCTATAGCATTAATAAGAACAGCAAAAAGTCTACTTACTGCGTTATAATAACATCCTCTACATAATCCTCTCTACTTGCCTATATCTATTATAAAGGCTTTAAAGTATTATAAAGTGTTACTAATTTTATTATATTAAGCTTTTTATATATAACTTTTTTATAGTTAGTACTTAATTAAGTAGTAGCTAATAACTAGGCACTTTTTATAATTAAAGGCGCAGCTTTTTATAACATGTTATAGCAGGCTAACTTGTTAGCAGAGACAGAGCTTTAGAGATCCTATAATACCTTACAAGCCTATATAATTACTAAGTATAAGTCTTACATGCCTACTATTATTAATTACCTATGTAACGCGTAATTAGCTATTTATATCTTCTTTAATAATTAAATATTAATAAGTAGTAAATAAGTGTTAATAAGTATTTATATCTACTACCTTAATAGTAATAGTAAGCCTTATAATTATGTATTAAGCCTACCTTTATTAATAGGCTAGCATATAGGTGTTAATATTACTACTGTTATTAATACTATACTTAAAAGCTTTAAGATATCTGTGTGTAACTTAGGCTACTTTATCTTTAATAATGCTACTAATAATAACACTACTATTAACACCCTAGCTATTAAATACAGCTTTAACGCCTATTATTAACGCCTATGTTATGCCTACTATATAATTAATTTTACTACCTAATAAATTATATTTAGTAAAGATTAAAAAGTGTTTAATAACATAAAAAAGCACTTAAATAATAAGGCAGCTTTTTTTAATAAGTAGTAGTAGGTAGGCCCTTTAGGTGTTCTAATTAATGTTATTACCTTTATCTATACACTGCAAGCTTACTAGCTTCTTAAATAATGCTAGGTAGCCTACAACACTTAATTAAATAGTAATAGTAAGGTAAAGACACTAAAGATTATTAAGCTAGTAAAAATAAAATAAAACTTTTATTATAATTATTTTTTACACATACTTAAGCTTTATATGCTTTTTAATAACTATATTAACTATAAGCTTATTAAGTACTAATACTAAAGCACTTATTAACACTTATAACTACTTAATCTTAAGCAGTGTTACTTTATCTAAAAGAATAGCCTTAGTGTAAAAAATTAGGCAATAATTATAAAGTATTATAAAATTTTATAACTCTTTAAAAAGGCTACTATTTGTATAGAGAGCAGAGGCGTAGCTAGTATGTTAAAAGTAATATAGAAAGTTTTACCTACGCTTACCTAGCTTTTTACTACCCTTAATAATATGCTTTATTAATATAATAATGTTAACTTTAACAATATTAATACTTTAAAAGACTATATAAAAGCTACTTATAATATAGCTTATATAAAGATCTATAAGTATCTGCATAAGTTAAAGAATACTCTAGTATATTACACAGCCTACTGTCTCTACCTGCGCATAAAAGGCTACATAAATAAAGTGTAAAAAGTGCCTTATAATTATAATAAAAAGCTTTATATAGGGCCTTACTTTTATAAAGGCTAGCTAGATAATTACTACATTAGCTTTTAACACTTATAAGTAGAGTTTAAAGATGCTACCTCTCTAATTAGTACGCTAGAGCTACTACTAAAGAAGGCGTGTACTAGGCTGTCTAAAAGCTAGTTAGACTTTATAAGAGCTACTTTATAAAGTAATAACACACACTTATTTTTTTACTATAATAAGTTTAAGTAGTAGATAATTAAGTTACTTATACTAAAAAAGTCTCTATTTACACGCAATCTAATTATCTACTAGATTAGAAAAGCTAACAAGTACTCTATCTTATTATGCTTTACTTTTATAGTCCTTAGTATCTCTGCTATAGCTACTAACTATAAGAGGACTTTTTCTAAATTAGGTAATTTATTAAAGATAAAATAATTATGCATAAAAGTAGATCTCTTATCTACTTTATAATTACTATGTAGCTAGAAGCGCCTTAGCTTAAAGCCTATAACAGCATTAAACAGTCCCTATAATAACAGTATTTTTTCTAAAGAGCTTAAGACTATCTATAATATCTATAGTTAATTTAATACACTGTAACTACGCTGTAAAGCTATTAATTAAGTTAAGTTAATTAATTAAGCTAGCCTTTTTTAGGGCTATTAAGTTAATTAAGTTAAGCAAAAGCTGCTAAATCTGTTAATTAATTAAGCTATTTACCTTAACTTGATTGACTTGATTGTTGCCAACTCTAGTTCTCTCATTACCAGACTTCTTCACGACTTCACGGGGAGATGATACGTACTCTCTTGGTAACTGTAGCTGGTCGTGCCTATAATTGCGGCCATGAAGACACCGCAGAAATCGAGAGTATGCTCATTGCAATATCTACCCTCGACGCTTCAGACACGGGTAAACAACCTCGTAGAAGCTAGTTGTCACCTCGAACAGCCTTTCCAATTGATTAGGAACCTGAATCTGGGTCAGATGTGGGAAGGCATCGACAATAAGTCGCCAGTTGAGGTTGCACACTTAAAGGAGGAAACCGGCCGTGATATGGGTCTTGAAGGCGTCGCTGCACTAGGTTTCGTACGGCTACCTTCATAGCCAAAACTCAGAAATAAACACAATTGAAATGCACTGGCGCATTTACAGAAACGGTGTAACTTAGTCGATTGAACGAGTCCGAACCTACACCTCTTGGAATCCTTGATACTGAATAAATGGCTACCGAGATTGACGTCTAGGAAATAGAAAGACTGTATTCAAGTCGGTTCGTGCGGTGGAGAGGGTGTGGCATAGTATTAAGCAACGCTAATTACGGATGCCCTGAGAGCATCGGGAATCGCTCCCCGAAGAACAGCTGGGCCATGGCCAAGGCATACTGATACCATAGCCACTTCCTGGAGGAACTTGGGTGTGCTTATAGTCAGAAGACGCCGGGAATCCGTTCGGGTTTCACTAGAGGGTGCTGAGTGGTTATAGGTCGAATATTGGGTGAAGTCGCTTCCGGCAAAGAAAGAGTCGAAATTATAGGGATTCTGGTAGGCTGAGATCCTTCCTTCTAACCCTGGTAACCTTGATGTATTGAAGCCCGCTACGTTTAGAGGAGGTAGAATTTCTCCATAAGGCATTGTGGTATCCGGAAAGCTTGCTAGCATGGAAATTGTCTGGAGGTTGAACTCGAAGGCACCAAGGCCCTGGAGGTAGCTTTTCAGATCAAAAGCCCCAACATAATGGTCCTTTAAGGCGGGAGCGTACGGAATATAAAGGCCAGGCTGGTTCCCTTTACGCAAGTGGGGGAGAGACTGTATTGTAGGCTTACCCTCAACCTCGGACGATGCACTAAACGTCGAGGTTGCAAACCCTAGGGAAGGTAGTTCGCTGACCCCAGGGCCAAGGTACCAGCGTATAATGAAGGACAGCTCTTCTTTTGTGAAATCAGTAAGGGCGTATTGGAACATGGACTGCGTAACATCGTGGGAGAACCCGTGAAGGCCTGGGTCGACAAGTGCATCGTAGGCGATTTGGAGCGAGCTCCGTATAACATCTACACCAAAACCAAATGACCGATAAGACAGCGATCGCGAAATGATGCTTGGTGGAACAACACGAGGAGCGATCGTCCATGGGCCGTACGATAACCAACTATCTCCGAACTGTCGTCGATGAAGGAGAGGCCATATCGATGCCGCTTTCCAGCCAGTTGGTGGCCCTGCGTGTCTAGATGAGCGAGAAGCGAGCATGACCGAAGTTGGGGTGCGTCGGTCGAATTGTGCAAAGGTATTTTCGGACAGGCTGTGAAGCGCTTGAGCGTCTCGGTCGTTACCCTCTTCGTTCAATGTTGCAACTCGAGCTAATTCTACGAAAGTTTTTAAAGATTGTCGTAGTTGAGACACGATGCTGGAGTCGACGCGAATTATGTCGCTCTTCAATAACGTCTCAGCGAGCCTGCTATGTTCAACGCTCATTCTCTCGATGACATCTCCCAGTTCTTTTATGCGCTCATCAATGGAAGCCGCATCAACCTGCTTGCGTGCCCGAAACGCATGCTGCGCTCGCCGGACACGCTCCCTGCGTTTCTGCGGCAAATTAGCGAAGAGTCAAATGGGAGAGACAGCACAAATTACCTCTGCGGCAACATCTCCATCGAACTCTTTGAGAGGTCGACCTCTTTTCTTCGTTGTTCTTTCCATATTTCCAACTGGTGTTAGAAGATGCAATCTGTCCTCGCTTTCGAGTCAGGCCAGTGACGACACGCTAATAAAGCTATTAACTATTGCACTGCTTTGATAATCAGTAGAAATGCGATTTGGGCTGCTCCATGCAACTCCTCAGACGTAAGAACCTCATTGACCTGTGGCATTAGATCATATGCTGATTAATCCATTCACTTGTGTGATCAGTAATCTCGCTGCCAGCGCCACCTCTCCCAGGCACTCCGGCCCGTTGTACTTCAGAAGCGATGGAACAAAACCTATTGATCAATGGCAGTGTCGTAAGCCGTTAAACAGAGGCTATGCTAGCCTTTTAGGTCATGATTAGAGAGGAGAGGAGAGTATGGTGCGAGGTGATCAGAAAACCAACAGCACATGTCAACGATTTCGCTTCGCTCGGGCTACTCAGGCGATTTTAATACTCTCCGACTCGCATCACCAATTCATACCTCAACCACTATTTTGAGAGATTTCGCCGCGGAAGGGTTATATTTCCCGTTGTAGATTTCTGATTATCAACATGGCGGCTGCTTTGGAAGCAGATTCGGTGATAATCTCAATTCACCTCATTGTGCTGCCAATGAGGCTGGCACTCATGTGGGATATATATTCCTTCATTCACAGCCTAATTCTTCTCTCTCCAGTCCTCCAGCCTCTATCTCTATTCTATTATTTCCTAAATTTACTCCAAACCACTCAATTCTTGTCTCAGATCTGCAAATTTCAATATAATGGCAGACTTCGCCGATCAGGATGCGCTCACACGGCCGCATCAGTTCACACCGACCATGCACCGCGCTGTCTATCCAGCCATCTCATCAAAGAATCCTAAACTCAATGCAGCTGGAAAAAATGTCCTTGTTACTGGAGCTACGCGCGGCATAGGCAAGGCAAGTTCCCCCAACCTTCGTCCAAGAAGCATTTCATTAATCATCCCTAGGCGATCGCCCTATCTTGGGCAGAGGCCGGCGCATCCGGAATCGTCATCACTGGCCGAGCGAAAGACCTTCTCACTCAAGTCTCAGACGAGATCAAACGTATTGCGCCAACAGCAAAGGTAGTCGCATTGACATCCGAAGCTACGTCCGAAAACGACACAAAGAGGCTGTGGGAGAAAGTCAAAGCTGAGATCGGCGTCATCGACGTGCTCATCTGCAATGCTGGCGTCTTTGGCGAGAATGATTTGGGAATGCCAGTTACAGGAAAGATTAGCCCATCTCAATGGTGGGAAAATATGGTGCGCCGACCCATTTCAACACATTTAGACACCCATCACTGATTGAATGATAGGAAGTCAACATCCGCGGCCCGTACCTTCACATCTACAACTTCCTCCAACAGTTCATTGTCATTGGCAAAGAACCAACTGGAACAATCATCATCCTCAGCTCTGGCGTGGCCTCGATGATTATCCCCGGTGCCTCTGCGTACACCATCAGCAAGCTTGTCGGCCTGAAACTCGCAGAACAGTTGAACGCTGGTAAGGCTGATCCTTCTCGCAGGTGATATCCGTAGCTAATTCTCGCAAGAACATCCAAATGTCCGCTCTTTCGGCATCCATCCTGGCTTGGTCCGGACAAATATGAAAATCGACGCGTTTGATGCAATGGCTATTGATCCTCGTAAGTTTCCCGTTTCAAGTAAGAACAACTTGAACTGATATCACCAAGCCGAAATGACTGGCGGTCTATCATTATATCTCTCCACACCGCGTGCTGACTACCTCCGTGGGGGCTATGTGACTGTGAACTGGGATGTTGAAGAGATGGAGAAACACGCAGAAGAGATTAAAGAGAAGAAGCTTCTAGGCACTTCGTTCCTCAACGCTAAGTTGGGCCCTGAGGGACATCCTTTTGAGGGCTCGACTTGATCAGCTCGTTTCTAGTCTTGATTGTCTAGGCCTCGTCGCTCTTTTTGAAACTCATTTATCGCTTACTTTCGGTTGAATTATATAATCTATGACAATTCGTCACTCACTCGTTCTCATTTTATGATCGCCGATGCGGTCTCGAGTCACCACGTTACTCTATACGACTCTTCCCCTGTAATTGCTGACATTTGCAGACTATATCACACCCTTCCCGCACTGTCATGAAGACCATACTATCACCTCCCCCTTCCATCGCTATGCCCCAGCCCAATATCAACACACCGCCTCCATAACCCACGCAAACGCCCGCCACTACACCCCTACCAACAACCCTCCACAATCACGATGCACACACCAAGACCCTTCATTTCCTTCCTCACACCGAGGATCCTGCGCCCCTTCCCCCATCCCCGACCTTCCACCCACCTCCCCCTCCACCACCAACACCGATGACGACGATTACTACTACTACGACACCGATGAGGCCGTAACCGGGCTCTCGCCCACCGAACACCAAACGTCGAAACATGAGCCGCCCGTATTGCCGCACAAGGAGATGCCGACCACCAACCCGAATGCTCCCGCGAATAACGCGACTCAAGAGGACGAGATTAGTGGTAGGGTTTGTGAAAAGGTCGAGGCGGAAGGGATCGGGCGTGAATCCATAAACGCAGAGATATTATGGGATGCAAAGAAACAGCGAGAGAGGTCGGCGAAATCTCGAATTTTGCGGATCATGGATATTGGGCGAGAGTGAGGCCGTATACGTGGAGTCATTGAGAGTGGGACGGCTGACTATAGATGTGACTGACAAAGAAAGGAGGGAAGTTATTGGTGAGGTTGAGGGGGTGGGTGGAAGCTGGGTGGGATAGCAAATTTGGAATGGGGGAGGGGAATACATGGATGGATGGAATGGGATGATGTTGACGTTTTGATGGGGAAGTTTAGGGGGGATAGTGAAGGGTGGGGTGGATGTTTTGTGAGGATGGAGGGTAGGAATGCGTGGGTTTAGATTGAATATGTGGATGTTGAGGCGAAGAATGTAGAGACTGAGATAGTGAAGCAAGTAGGTAAGACTACCGAAAGTGTTGCGCAGCATACCAGTCAGTAGGTGGGTCGAGTGGGCTATTCTCGGAGCTACAACGATTTCCTCGGTTTAGCTTTTCGAGGTGTTGCTATGAGTGGAAGATATTTCTGAAGGTGGTAAACGTTGACTTCAGCGTCAAAGGATGGGAAGTCAGCTATGCTTCATATTATGTGATAAGATGCAGCGCCATCCGTCAGTACATCCGCCCGTACAGTACTGCAGTACATCAAATTTAGTACTGGCTAGTACGTATAGAGGTTGTTGTCAGTACAGTAACTATATTTGAGGCACTGTCACTAGCCGTTTACGGTAGTATTAGGTTAAATACTCCGTACAGTACAGTACAATCTACCAATTCATCCGTTATAGAGTAGTGCTAGTCACCCTCTCTCATCAACTCAGTACAGTTGGTACTCGCAAGCAGGCTGAACAGTACAGCACAACATACAGCCTCAAAACTACTCCGTTACGTACGGAAGTCAACACTGCTCCTATGTCTTCCTCATACCGTCGCATCCCTTCGTCAAACATCTCGACCCATTCGACCTGTAGGAACTCTGCAACAGAGGCCTTCGGCGGTCCTGCTCGCCCGGACCGAGTGCGAGCGCGAGAGAGACCGAGACCGTGGATGCGTTTCAACGAAAACAAGCTCGAAACCCTCCCACTGATCTGGCACCCACTCATTGAATCGTCTCTACAACTACAGTTAGAACGAATCACCCTTACGCAGTCCTCAAGAAAACAACTTCAGAAATGTGTAGTGATGTAGAATTCAATGTCCGGAACGCCACACCTCACCCAAGCTAATTGCTGCATATGCTATTCGTAAACGCCCAAGATCAGATCGTAAACTTTACAATACATACATCTGAGACTGCGCCTGGCTCACATGGGTATCTTACAGATTGGTCTCTGCGCCATCTCCCCCATCGTAGGTAGCGTAGCAGACAACCTAAAACATTATGAGCGTGACAACGCCTCCAAGCATCAACATGAAAGCACCCCACGCACCCCCTCTCGCTCCGGGGGTATCAAAACGCCCTCCCCGGCGTCCCCGGCGGCTCCATTCGTCCGGGATAGTAACTCCTCTCCGGCTCAGGAGCCACCCTATCACTCATATACCCCCATTCCTGACCCCCGCCCTCCAGCTCCTCTTCCTTCTCCTTTGCTTCCTTCCTCTTCCTCTGCTCCTCCAACAAAACCTTCTTAATCGCCCGCATCTTATACCAAATCCATCCCGCCATAATAATCGTAACAACGAACACAGCACCAAACATTACTATCTTCTCTACGTTGTCGTTTTTCTCTTGGATGAGCAGGACGCCGAGGTAGACGAGGAAGATTTGTTTTGGAAGCGAAATGAAGGTCGCGATGACGAAGAACCAGAACTTGACGTCACAGGTGGAGAAGACGGCGGTAGAGAAGTGGGCCGGGATGGCGGAAAAGCGGATTACTAGGACGATCTGGGAAGGGGGTTGAGTTAGTTTTGGAGTGCTTTAATTGAGTTGCAGGGTGCGAGTGCTATAGAGGGGGCAAAGGGTACGAGTACGTAGGAGTTGGAGAATGTGCGCGAATGATAGTTGGAAACATACCCAAAATCCCCCGTCTCTCGTCAAGCGCGCCAGCGCGCCGTAGTTTAGATTTGTCCGCTCAAGTTTTGCGGCTCGGCGACGTAGCGCATACTTGAATGCGAACCATGTACCGACTATGACGCACCCGGGTAGTCAGCGCCTGAGTGCATGTAACGCGATAGATAGGCGGTGGTACTTACTTTCGCCGATGAAGGTACCGGCTGCAACAATAGCGAAGCCGATCCACAGGCCGTACACAACACCGCATAGTACTGCTATGATCTCATGGCCGAATAGCGGTGGAAATGATATGATAATCAATATCGCGACTGGAATAAGCCATCCCGCTGGGAGGTCGCGGACTTTCTCTGAGAAGGGGCGGAGTTTCTATATCGGGTCCCGTTAGTATAGGTCGTGATAATTAAGGTATGAGCAAGACTTGCCATCACGACTTCATTGTGATGTATTGTCAACATCGCTGTCGCGACACCGATTGCAATAAACAGGATATGCCATGCTAATCCCCAAAGTTAAACATTAGTTTCATTTCTTGCCCGATCATCAGGGTTCGGGTCTGCTCAAGCTCCCACATACGTATGTACTTAGGCGACAAGAAGATCTTCTTCCAATTCACCGGCCGATATTCCGTCTCTTCTGGTGGACCACCCTTCCTCTTTCTCTCTCCCTGCCCCATCCTAGTCATCTCGATATCTTCTGGCATCGCATCAATATACTACCCCTCGAAGGGTGGACGTGGGTACGGTCGGTGGAGGAAAAGGCCAGAGGAATGACCAAAACGAAGAGACGTCAAAACCAAACGCGAAAGGAATACCAGAAAGTGACGAGGGAACAACCAATATTAAGGGAGGCGAGCGCAGGGGCTGAGCATGAATGGTGGTGTTGCTCCCTGAATCTGAAACCGGCGAGTGCCCCTGCCGGCGCTACATAAAAAGGCCAATCACCTTGTCACGACTACGCGTCTTCCAAATCTTGCAGCATTAGCGCCCGCCTCTCAGCCCTCTCGCTTCGTTTCGGCGGTTGGGGACGCAGGGGTATAGGCGATCCTGTACTTTCGTTGAGAGGGATTCTTCCGCTGAATCTTGTATGAGCGACGTTTTTCTACCAAACGGACATGGGCTCTCGACCAGCCAAGGACTCCGCCAAGCATCGCTATACCTGGTCGAGAATTCAATTCGCCTTATGATCTGTTTTGGGAATTTTCCTAACGCCTTGAGTTCCCGGGAGCCCTGAAACACTCTGTCTGTAGCACTTCCAACGTTGACGTGGATCTGGATAGGAAGTGAGAGCCGGAGAGGTGGAGGTTTCTCGGGCGCCTTTGTGTTTCGCTGCAGAATCTGAGTTTTTGCAACATAGTCGATACGGAACAGCAGGCTCATCCTAGAGAAAAGAGAAACGATGTAGCGTTGTCACTAAACCGGCCGGTATTCTGTCGGCGCGGTGTGTGATGTCGAGATTCGGACAAAAACAGGACAAATCGAAGCAAGAGCGAGCTACAAGATTGCGAAAGTAAAGGACGAGAAAGACGAATGATGGAGCGAGAAAGAGGAGGCGTGTGTCTTATAAACGCTCCATAAGAGTCTGATCCATTCGGGTGCCTACCCTTTGGGAGTTTCGCTGCAACACCCCGCTATTTTGTACTCGTTCATGTAAAAGTTCATAGAGTTAACAGCTGCATCTCCTGTATGTCTTGCTTCTACGTTTTCTTTATTATTACCTTGCTCTTGTGATCGATTGAGTTCCTATTCAACAGAATTGGCAGTATAGATATCCCAAAAAGCTCGAATCTATCTAGCACCTCAATTTTCTCGATTATTACCTGTACCATCGTGATCGCTCCATTCTCCTGGGTCAAGCATCTCATTCTCTTTCCAACTCACCTTTCTATGCAACTTCGGATATATATATAAGCCTTAGCGGCTGCGTCATCTAGTCCCCCACTTCCAACTCGACGACGGTCCTCGATAGCTGCTCCACCACCCAATATAAATTCATATTATCCCTTGGAAGGCGGCTCCAGGACTGTTTAACTGGGATCGGGTCCGAGCGGTTCACAAAAAAAAGGGTAAAACAAAATCAAGTCGGTCCGGGGGCAATCGCGTTCAAACCCAAAGAATTGAAGAGTACCTACCAAAGCGATAACAGGAAAAGAGTGCCTTTGGAGCCTTAAAAACCTCCTGATTCTGCACATTTATTACGACAGGTTTGCTCCGTCCAATTGACCATTATCTCCTAGTCAATCTTATACTCAGCCCAACAGGGATCGCACAGTTGCTGGTGATCTCGTTTCCCGGCTGTGAGGACATAGTCGGAGGACATGTCTTGGCCATCCCACGATGAGGAGTTGCTGGAGTTGCGGTAGGAGTAAGAAGGAAATAATCCGTGTCTAGAGCGCTTTAAACTGCCTGCTAAGAGCTGGTGTAAGAGAATTGACAGATGGTATTAGATGTATTAAGGAAGGTGGTAATGACGAGCAAATACGAATGAGCCGGTGTATGAGGTAAGGTTAGGTGAGTCGTGGTGTTGTATTCAGTGCGCTTCCTGGCGTAAGTTTGTTATGGGGGCCTCCGCTGGTAACTTCCTACTAAATTGGGCGGACTTGGACTATAGCCACAACTTAAGTTGGTGGATCGTGACCCTGATGAGAGGCCTCTGTAAATCCGCCACTGTAATGCTTCTGCTCCTTCCTTGCCGTGACTTGAGGTTTCCGGTAAAGTTGGACATCTGTCTATTGCTCATTTGTCTACAAAGATCAAAAGGGGTTGGTTCTAGCTTAGGACTATGACCTTTAGTTGATGGCGTTACAAGAAGATCAAAGGCTTAAGGACATTGACTCTGCATCTTTGTTTGCGGCACCGACCCAAGCATCACAATAAGAATACTGAAAATATCAAATAACCGGCCCCCATCTAATGGGGGCCTTGATACCAAGCCACAATAAAGATCTAAGCCATTTACCACCTCGTTTAGGCTTCTCCTCCTCCATACTCTCTATCCTTGTCACATCCCAAGCCTACCTAGCCATTCTAGGAGACACTGTGTTCATATCATTCTTGATCACCCGCAGACTGATCTTGAGTTGCTCTTGTCTCCTCGTTTTCTGTCCTCTATTCCATATCGTCTGCTGCCCTAGGAGGGCTGCTTCCTCTTGCACCATTCCAGTCCTCTCAGTGCCGGTTCCCTCAGTGCCGCTCTCCTCTGACACCATTTGCCAGTCATCTTAGTGAATTTTACCGTGGAATCCAGGGGGTTGTGTTTCGGCTTCAAGTCCTGGTCCTTTGATAGCATGATGATATCCAAAACGCATATGTTAAAAGGGTGGCGAATGGTGGCCATAAATACGAAAAAGGCACTAACATACCTTTTAAAGCACTTTTGCATATGAAGACTCGATGTGAAGTGGCAGCCGTCCGTTAACCACCGTATCATTCACGCGAGGGCCCCTAAAACGCACTGTATGCATACTGCAAATGGACGGCCTCTCTACATTACTGCTAAATTAAATGATCACCACTCTTCATATCCTAGGATTCCATATCCTAAGGCTTCGAGAGTGGGTAACGTCTGTCGTTCGATATCGGTTTCTACCGCCCCGATTTCCTCCAATGACCTGTCAGCCATGTTTTCCGCCGCTATTCGGAGCTTTATTATCGCTGCCCCCTACGTGCACTCGTGCGCTCATCCTCATATGTCTCATTCGGAGCCCATGTATTGTTAAATACATGGGAGAGATCGTCCCTTCCTTGGTCTTTACGGTGGTTCGCCTTGTTGTCGCGTATCATCTCCATATTTTCTGCGGCGTTTGAAGATCCTGCATTCCTTGGGGTGGGTCGTTTAGGTTGGCCCGCCGGCTTGATGCCATTGCGAACAATCTGGCTGGTATCTGAAGAGTTCGAGTCACCCCTTGCGATGAAATTTTGCTCGGAAGGTAGATCCTTCGTTGGCACTTTATGCACCCACGTATTCCGTAGCGAGTTGTTGTGATTGATTAGCGAGGAAAGAGCGATGTGGCGGGTTTCTGAGAGCCTACTTTCTAGACAGGGCAGCATGGGTTAAGTGCGACGAGGGATTATTACTAGGATACGTTGGTAAGGAATTCGCTTTGACTTTGGCGCGGTTCATGCCGGGTCATGGCTCCTCCCTGGGTCACTCACATGGACGATGGCCCCGTCCAGTTGACTGACCCAAAAATGAAGAAAAGGGCTTAGAGTGTGGGGCGTCGGCGCTTCAAACTCCCTAAGGTCAACAACATTGGGATGTTTTGTGAAGGGGGCTTTCCACTAGTGGGCCGAGATTAACACAGTCACAGTTTCTGGTCCAGGCACACCCTTGGGAGTATGTAAACGCCTACGTGGCTGCACCACAAGAACACTTAATCTAGACGCCCGCCAGCAACCAACTTCCCCCCAGCCCTCTGTGTGACTCTTCAACTTTGGATTCGGCCTGACTCCTGACTACTTCCCCCCTCGAAATGCGGCGAAAGATTCATAGCAATCTCGTTTGTACAATTCACGCGGCTGACTTGACACCCCATAGTGCAGTAGCGGCATGCTAAGCCAGGAATCACATATCAAGCTACGTGGTGTTGGCGTCAACCGCTCTCAAGCTCCAAAATAAGCATTCATCCGATGACCGAGGACATATTTGACTCCAATCCAGGAAATTTTCACAACACTCCAGTATACGCTCAATGGCACCCAGTTCCACCACAAAATGTAGAGGCCCGAACCCCCTGCCAAAAAATGGTCAATACCACAATAACGCAACAGTGTTCGGTCGGCCTTCTGAGTACAGGCTCACTGCAATGAGGGATTCGGGTGGCGCAAGCGACAAATATGAGACAGTAACCGATCCTACTCTTAATAATATTCCCGTGGAAGATGAACTCGAACGGACTGGAGAGCTGGGGCCTCGGTTGTGGACCGAATACGAGCGGATGATCCAGTATGAAGCTGCTCGAGTGGAGGGACTTCAAGAAGAACAGAGGTGGGTCAAGCAAGAGGCTGGTGCTGCTCGAGCCAAAAATATCAGGGGAACCAGCGCTTTGAAGGGTTATGGATGCGGACAGTACGTGACACACCTCGCGCCACTTGTTTCATTTGAGGCTGTCAATCCAGTCGAGAAACGGAAGAAAGGTAAATGCGGAGTTTGGAAGAGACTTGTTGTTCAGAAATAAGGGAGAATATGTAAGGCTGGTTTGTAGCGATTGGGAATTAAGGACTGCATGGCAAGTACTGCTATACTTCTTTTTCGTCTGTTTACTAACACAGTTATGTCAGAGTGCCATATCGGCATCATCGATATTTATGTCCAATTCCATCGCAGCTAGTGTCGGGATTATACCCAGTCATTCTCCGTTCTTGTTCATGGTTTTGGGGCACGTTTGTGGAAAATCAAACGATATAAATCGATCCAAGCTTGGGTCGAGTATTCATACTCTCCCATATGTCTGTGAATTGCCCCGGTACTCGTACCTAGGTAGTTGCGAATCAAGTGTGAATATCCTATCACGCTCAAATGAATTCTCCTGCAGTCTGCAGTACTTGACCATCAGCACGAGTCCTCAAACAATTCCAGGAAAGTTATCGCTCTCTCTATTTATTTTGGTTTTGGGTTCGTAAAGTTTTCTTGATCATGAAGACACGTAAAAGGTAAATTTAGAGAGAAGATTGGATTCACAACCGGCCGTCCCCATGTGTTCGGCAACCATTTCTAATCAGATTTCAATGGTTCTTATGATAAAGTGATATTATCATTCTCAAAGCGCGTAGGAAGCGTAACCTAAGTCGCAAATCAACTGAATAGTCATTCAAAGTGTCGAGTCCCTCACTACTTGATCTCCGAGGTGTCTAGTCCTGCAACGACGAACTCCTCGTTAGCATACCAGAAATAACCGTCTATCAAGCCAATCTTACGCTCAATTATTTGCAATTTAAACCCATTATATAAGTACAGATCATTGGAAATTGCTATTACCTGGGTTCCATCTCCCATCTTCTTCTCTCGTCATTATTCCCAGCTCCTCAGTCGCACCAATCAAGGACCAGTCAGAGCCCATATTACAACTCCAGCCAAATCTGTAATTATCTGGTCCAGTAATCTCCAACGAATAACATACGTGAGCGACGCGAGATCTTTCTAGTGATATATCCCCTGCTTCTCCTGGCTTCCCTGATTGTCATCTCCGCTTGGTGTGCAGCTAAGAAGGCTCGTCTTGCAAGCATCAAATACTAGAGCCCAACACATTTGTAGCCGTGCCATCCGGTGTCAATTACCCGCCAGTCGTCGATTAGGGTCGAGGGTCGGGAGATGAAGAGGCTAGTGCTTTGTAGTAAGGTTGAACCGGAAGAGCTATGGTTGCAACTGCTGAGGGAAGGAGGGAGTAGGTGGAGGGTTTAGTTCGTCTTGTAGATGTGGTATAGAGTTAGCTGCGAAGGTGTGGGCGAAGCTCACTGCCATACAAGCGGCTGGGGGGATTGAGGAAGCGAGGTTAAGAGGCAAAGAGGCGGACGGATTCCAGAAAGTAACTTCACACCCGCTCCGAAGATTGGTTCTTTGCGGGAATGGGGGGATGAGGAGCAGGCTCAGTGGGGTTGGAGAGGAGTGGGAAAAGCAGAAGGAGGGAATCCCAGTTCCTCAAAGCTAGTAGGGAGAGAGGAGATGTTTAGAGAGTGAAGCAGAGATAAGTGTGAAGGCTAGGCGTGAGATGATGAGGGTGGAGGAAGGATATGGGATTTGAAAGTCTGAAGAAGGGAATGAAGTGGCTCGGTTTCTTTAAAGGGAAGGTTTGGAATCCAGGGTGGTTTGCACATGGAGGATTCATTTAGCGCCATATAAACGATTATAATACCTGTGCAATGAATGGGATTAGAGTGCATAGGGGGGTTAATACCGATTATGTAGGAAATGAGACGTCTCACTGTCGATTGCCCTCACTTCTAACTAACCACCACAAAAAACCCAAGCGGGCAACTTCCATCACCATCCGGTCCAGCCTGAAACCACTGCAGACTCGTATCGCTCGAACAAAGCGCCCCGCTGACAGTTTGTCCACCACTCCCTGGCAAGATACCGCAGGGCAAAGTCGCGATCGTATACGTACTTCCCGGCACAATGACCGGCGGAGGAAACGGTGGGCTCGGTCCAAGAATTGGCTGGTTGTTATACGTCGTGCTATCGTCGGCGCCAAATCCCGTCAGGTATCCGGTGAAGGTAAAATGACCCGGTCCAGAGAATCCAACTGTGTGTGGAGCAGCTTGCTCAGCCGTTGGAAATGCGAAGGAAAGCGTGCAGGTTTTTAGAAGGGTTGGTTCGCCGTCGACGTAGTCGGGGACCTTGAGATCTACGATGGTGCATTTATCGTTTGGTGTAACAATGCCTGTGCTTACTCCGCCGAAGGCTTTATTGGGCTCGGATTTGGAGATTGGGACGAGCATGTATGGAGATATTGTGCCTGGAGGGAAGTCGCTTCCAGCCGGGCATGAAGATCGTGATGCATGAGATGAGGGTCTCGCAAGGACTGTGGAGAATAAACTTGTAAGGGTAGCGGCGATCAACATCTTCATCTTAGCGATGGTGTTTGAGATTGGTAAGCCTATAAAAATTAATCAAAGTTCTGTAGCTGGTCGAGGGGTTGCGAGGAAATAAATCGAGGTCGCAGGAAGCTTTATACCTTGCAGAATTCATTCCTCGGATTCAGCTACAATAGGGTATTGGGCCCTGCAAGGGCCCTCAAGCCACTGATGCGGCATCATTTTCTTTGACGACGCCAAATCCAGGTTTTCGTCGTACCTGCACCGGGTCTCCAGAACTAGCCGTTCGGCAGTAGTTGCGGAAAATGCCGATTACTAGAAATAACCAAATGGAGGTGAAGGTTATAGGGTTGCGATTCCATGTTTTGCAGTTGAGGTGCTGATCAACGCCGATCAATTGTCGATCACTGTCGGCCCCACCAAAATGCCGTCGAAGCTTTTGATCAACAACGGAATTCTATGGTCGATCGAACACACCAAATGTTGTTATGCTGGTCGTTTTCGGTGATGTGCAAAGGTTAGTTGAAGGAATTCGTTAAGTTTGAATCTTTCAAAGAAATGAGTAGGAAGCTCCTTCCCCTCTCACCCCCACCTTCGCAACCATACTTAGCCTACTGCCCTCGCTCATGCCACCTATCATCATCACCGAGTTTCAAAGCTTCAACTGGAAACGGCATTTGAGAAACAAGAAGTTTAGGAAAGGTTTGAATTTTTACAATCCCTCCTACAGTGTATCCGCCCGTTCATCAGAAGCGCAGATTTAACTCCACTTCGACGGCCAATACTGGCTCTGAAAGCCCATACAGCGTCACTGTTATCAGCCCTTTGGAGCGACTTCTGGATTGTGAATACCTCGCGAATAAAATTTCACACACATATATGTTGCAAAGTACTGAGGGATACTCCCAGTCTGGAAATTCTTAAGCCTTGGCGCTCTTGAACGATATGATACTAAACCTCGTTCCAATTTAAATTTTACGATTACTTGACCGTGTAGGTTCTACGCACATGTATACGGTAAGAGGGTGAGATACTCGAGGATGTGCTGAATGATGCCCTAGGGCATACAAATCTCCCTGCAAGTGCGAACCAATCACCCGTTCAAGAGGATGGTGACACTGGGATGCATCCAGCATACATCCAATATGTCAAGGTAGCCGTGACTCTACCAGTTCATCCAAGGGTCTTGTAGCATTAGATTCATTGTGCAGCTCACATATTTGCTTCTCCGTCACATTGCGAGGTCGCGGTGGCAGTGACGGTGGCTGTGGCGATTGGTATACATTGAATGCATTCTGGGCAAGTTCCAGTCGGTGAACGAGGATTCATATGCCAGCTTGAGTACCACGAACACTCTAAACTAAACTAAACTAACCTCACCTTTGCCACGGACTTGGTGTCTGTGGACGTTTTCTTCTAGTTTTAAGGTCCTTTTAATTTTCCCACTATACAGCTAATGACATTGTAGGTTCATGAACAAATCCGACGAAATGTTTGTGTATGTGTACTTGATCCTTAACACATTCGTTGATAGTCTTGAGATACTGAAACTCGCTGTTTTCCTAGATTTGGTCCGCTGGAGTTTGACTTTGTGATGATGATTTGATAGATATTCACTCTAAAAGGGAGAAGATGAACAGAAAGGCAAAGTTCAATAAGTAGCAGAATTGGCGAGCCACCTGAGTCCAGGTATATTCACTGGCCAACACCCCGCCCACTACAGTATCGCTTTGTAACCATATATAAGCGCTGCACTCCTAAAATCTCCACGTGAATCCGCCAACGCATCCGCTCTCCAAAACACCAAACACGACGCGCTCCACAGCATTTACGTAAGAATTTCCATTCACCTGCACCCACAACATCTAACCCTAACCCCTTAAACGCAGTGTTGGCCAAGGAGATGTCTTCCCCTAGTAATAACGACGACCCGTCTCACCTCCACCCTGCCGCCAATCTCTACCTCACAAAACCCTAACGACATCCCAAACTCAGCTCGATATCGAAGCGGCCATGGGATCCCTGAATACTGTTTCCGTTAGTAGCCCCGGAAAGACAAAGACTAAGACATCGAAGCGTCGAGACTTGTTTGAGGCTCTCGAGACCGCGACTTCGCGAGTTCCGCAGCTTGTGAGAAATAATCTAGATGCTCAGGGGGGTAATGTCGGGTATCAAAGCGGCCAATGGGTTCCGCGACGAAGTCTACAGAAGGGTTCTAAAAGGAGAAATATGAGGTTGGCTACAGTAGTCAAGATAAATCAAGAGGATGTTGGTGTTGGTGGTAAAGAAGATGGTGGAATTGCTAAGGCTAGTAATGGTGGTCCATAGATGAAGAAGGCGCGTTATGTTAGTAAAGGGCAGAGAGCCAATGGTCTAGGTGAATCGGAGAAGAAACATAGTGGCGATCTAAGAAAGCGTAACAAAATAATTCTATGTCAGACGAAGCAAAAACGCTGGTAACGGCAGTCGTCAGACAAGAGCAGAAACCTCTTCTTGCCAAAAATAAGGTAAGTAGCCTACCTTGAACTTTGCCTTAGTCTTATGCTTAGTCCTTATACTAGGCATCTCGAGATTTGCAATCACTACTGCAGTACTCGGCGTTGGCAATAGCATCACGAAGTCCTTTCACACGGCAAGTGCTTGCGGGTCTGAGCCTGAGTTTGTTCAGGCTCAGTTCGATCAAGAGGCTGATCCCAAGGATTCTTCAGGTGTACCCAAGGATGCTACATGGAACAGCGAAGATCCCACTCTCAAGACTGTCACGCATCCTGATGAGGTTCCGGAGATCACAACCTCTTCCTTCGAAGCAATGACTTTGTTCATGCCAACGTGCAATATCAAGGGGGTGGACCAAGCGAAATGGTGTGTACAAGTGGCTGTAAGTTCTGGCGTCGATAGATGCTTCTGAGAGGTATTCGTAGTCTAGAAAGACTAATATTTAGGAATCGTTTCCAGTGGTGCTGATGGACGGAACTGGAGGTTGAGGACTTCATCAAGATGAGAAGGGGTGAATGTTAGCGCTATACGCAGAGCTTAGAGTAGACTTAGAGTAACTGAGGATAGCTGTTCTTTTAAGGTATTATTGTGTAAATTATAGGACTGTCAATGCCACTATCGACCGTACTTCTCGTCACTCTATTGTACCAACTCCCATGCCATAGGAGACATATTCTGGAGGGCGATATTGAAAGCTATATGGAGGTCTATAGAGCTCTTCTGGAAGAAATGCGAGCGAATACTCCCTCCACGCGTAGCACCGATCGTTTCTTGATTCATTTTGCCACTCCCAGGCTATTGTGTTTACGTACTTCTGCTTCATCTTAATGAACATGCAATCTCCGCCGCCTCATCCTTTGAATGCATATTCCTTACAATATCGATGAGGAGCGACTTGTCAAGAAATTGAACCAGTTAGTGGTGCATCAAACCGTGACAGGAGTAGGGCGTCCAGTCAACTAGGTGAGACTCCGTCCCGCAATTTTTAAGGCAGTGCATCTTGCCACACGAGATTTCTAAAGGCCTGCTTGTCTAGAGGATGCAAGAGTGCCTGCATCTTGTGACCTCTGGTGGAACCAGGATTAACTCGATCTGTTTGACATCTTGCTGCAATCAGGAGATCATTAATATGTAGAACTCTGCCCTAAGCTACCTCCTGTTATGTTCCACCTTATATAATAAGATTCAGTAGCACAGAAGCGAGCTCTAAGTATGTTTAATCTTTGTGAAGAATTGTAAGCCTGGGCTCTACGATGGGCTCCCCGATCAACCATGGGCTTGGCGCCCCACAATACTACACAAATCATGTAGCTATTCGGACCCTCAGTTCACAATACACGACTCCTCTCATAGCCCACACCCGTTACAAGGTTACAAGGATAGCTTATTGCTGGCCAGTTTGTCCGACGGGTCGGTCTGAGGAGTCGGTCGGAGTAGGCTCTCCCTAGTTTTGCCCAGCGTAGAAACGTTCGATGTACGCGATGGACAATAGATAAATGTCCTTGTTGTAGACACAGCCTCAGCGCCCTGTACTATTTTAACAATGACGCAGTTCGAGGTCGGACAACAAACTCCATCGTCTCGTTTCAAAACACGAATTGCCGGGCAGTGCCGCACCGAGATCGTGCAATTCGCCTCGCGTGGTTGTGGTTTTCGCACAGCCCTCGTTTCGGGGACCAATTGCAAGCACTTATGATCCAACGATCCTCCATGCAATAAACTAAAGAGCATCATGGAACATATTGTTACTTCCGTATGCAAACAATTCGCTGAGTCCTGGGGCGAAACAAGCATAGCAGCCAATCACTTGTTTTGATAAAAAGTTTAGCACCTCTGGGAGCTAAGCACATCCAACACCGAGTTTTATGGGCTTGAATGATCTCATATGACCATGTTAAGGCATCCTTGGTCAGGGTGTCCTTGACCGGACGATACCGGTGGGATTGAATGAGGGAAAAGCTGCGTCTTAGAAGTATAAGTATCTCCAATCGGTACTGCTTCTCAGAGATATCCAGAGCATCATCAGTTCCTCTCCTTCCAAGTCCCCAGCACTAGTCTTATCAAAACCATTCTTCAAGCATCACGTACACAGTACCTTTCTCTTATATCTAACCTCTTCCACTCCCAAAATGGCCGGCATAGGTATGCTCGCGTCCGCGATCATCCGCTCTCTCCTGCTCGGTCTCGATTCCCATTTTAGCCCAGACAGCATCGTAAGCTACCACTATTCCCCACCCAGCTTTCATGTTCTAAAACCGCACAACTAGGACCTGCTCCAAGGAGAGGTTTTGGACACGTTGTCTAAGCCCACGTTGAACAACATGTGCGTGTTCTATGTAACAGGAATTCCGGGATCAGTAGAGAAGGACATCGTCAATATCAACGCATGGTTAAAATGCAAGTTTCAGCAAGCCAAAAAACCAAAACCAAGCTAACTAATATCTGTCACACAGGCGGAGAAGAACAATCATTGCTCGGGTCGTGGTTGGAAGTCCCAGCCGACCAGTAAGTCCCAACCCAATCCGCAATATCCTAGCCTCGAGATGAAATATCCTAACCCCCCCACCTAGAGATCTTAAAGTCTCAGACTCCCGCATCGGAGACCTAACCCTCAACTTCCAATCCTCGAAATTCAAGACTTTCCCCTTCCCTGGCGATCTTATCATCTACAATTCCGTGTGGACCGATTCTGCCTTTGATACTGGCATTGGCATTAACAACTGCATAAACTTCTCTAAAAAGGGGTCTATCATTGGTAAAGACTGTAAAGGCAACAAAGTCATTACTACGGTGTGCAACGAAGGTTTCATGGATGGATCGTATGGTATGATTAATCGCGAGAACATTCAAGAGCACGGCTGGATTTATCTTATGGCGTTTCCGGAACTGGGGGTTAATCCGGGGTGTCCAGATCCGGGGAAGAAGGCTAAGAAGGCACTGGAGTTCAGAGGGTGAGGGGTTTGAAGGGTTGGAGTGCCAGCTTAGTGTGTATATATGCATACCATTGCTTTATCTGATTGATTGAATCTATGTCATTTTTGTTTCGAGGAATTACTACCTTGTCGACCATCTGTTATTCGAGTTTATTGGAACTAAACACAGTTTCCTTGCTTACCTCCGCCTGAGTTCCCATCTTCTTCGCAGGGTGTTCGCGTATAGACACCATCTCGAAGTTGCACCCAAACACCCAACAAAAGAGGCTACGACAGCCAAGAGCTAGTTTCCACGGGGGTTGGGATTATTGTGCCTTGCAAAAAGCTCGTTCCAGTCAAAATTTCAACCAGTAGCTTGCGCACGGGTTCCGCTGCCAAGCCTTGGCATGGGCGGAAGAAAAGGGCGATCAACAACAAACTACAGAACTAGAAAGTAGACTATAATAGAATGTCAAGAAAATACCACTGAAAACGAAAAAAAGAGAATGAAACAATGCAGTTTTTTTGCACAGGATTGCTGAATTGCATAAGAATGTCTCTTGTTTTAGCATTGCTGTACCTTTTTACGACCGTTCTCTTGAAAAACATGACTATAAGGGGACTGTCACTTTGGCGCGTGGGGCGAGTAACCAGCGATTTACAAAGCACAATATTGTGCCTTGCAAAAAGCTGGTTACAGTCTAACTATCACCGAAGGGTTTAGCAGAACGTCCGGCACACTCCTACCATAGAGTCTTCATACAATTAAATGCTTTAACTATATTTTATACCTACAAGGGCACAGTTTGCTAGCTAAATTAATATTTACGCTCGCGCAGTCTTCTAACACTAATCTTATTAACCCTAGACATCCTTCTTCACCAGACAGAACGGCAGATCTGGCAAAGCAGTGCCTAGCTCTATAGAGCCTAGAGATCTACCGAGCCTAGAGATCTACCTGAAGAGGATTTGAAGAGTACAAAGAAAGATGTAAAGCGATTACTATAAGAAGAATGAGACAAGATACCCTAGACCTCTACTCAAGCTTGCATCAATGAGATGCCCTGGGAACGGTAGGAGGCCCTCCCAACACCAAAAGCTTATACGATTCTCCTAATTAGGCAATCAAAGGATTTATAGCTCGGTTGAGGCTAAAATATCATAAATTTGGCGATGCCATGCTCGTTATTTTGAGATTCTAAGAGGCTTTTGAAGGGCGAGGATATCTTAGTGACACGGACACGAATTCTTGCACCCCCAACCCATGTGGCCGTGTGGGATTGCGGCTAAACAATGGCCATGCGTTCGACCCCCTGCTCTTAACAGCACCACAGCCTGGGGCCTACCTGTAGCAATTGAAGGTCGCGAACCTCTTCTCTGGTAGTCACGCCTTCCTGTAAATACTTGCTGCTGGCTCCTTGTTATTGCTGTCTGCGCGTGTATAGTAATGTTTTCCATGTCGTCCCAAGACGCACCAGCGCTCTGGTTGATCCATGGAGAGCGCCCCTCCCCGACCTCGAAGCTTTGCTGCTTCAGCGCTGGTCCCCAGTGTTTCTGCTCGACAAATCGACGCTCAAGCAACATGAGCGCTTCTCCGAGACAGACCTCAGAGGTATCTCCGACGTACTACGGCGGGTTGGCCGGGGCGCATGGTCGCGCATCTACACCGTCTTGCGGCTGCTAGACTGCCTCGACGTGATTTGCCCCTTGCTCGCGCAGGCCACCTCCGGCGTCTACTCTCCCTTTACACATCAGACCCTGCCCCAATCGCTGAATCCGTCAGTCGCCCATGAATTCCTCCAAGTGCAGCGAGCGGTGTTGTGGAGTGCCCTTGTCCTGGAGCGCGAGACCGGCAGACACCGACACTTTCTGAGCGCCGACGACATGCCGTTCATCAAGGTGGAGGAGCTAGGTAAGGGCGCCTATGGATACGTGGATAGGGTGATTAGTACGGCTAGTCACAAGGAGTATGCCTGGAAACTTATCCCACGGGGTCGCATCTTCCATCGCCACCAGAAGATCCTCCGAGACTTCGAGCGCGAGCTGGGCACCCTCAAAAAACTCTGCCACCACCGGCACATTGCGCAACTCATCGGCAGCTACACTGATCCGCAGTCTACGCATCCTGGGATTTCACTCGATCGCCTGCCTACCGTAGGCCCTCATCGGTATCAATAGCCCAGGTCGTGCCCGTCGAACACGCTTTGCTATCTTTAAATGCTTCCAAGGACAGCACTGCCTACCTTGACTCTGAAGAAGCTGTCAATCCAGTGGTAGAGGCTGAGAAAACTCGAAGTGACGATTTGGACGAGAAGTCGACAGCAGATGCCGATGAACATGTAGAACGGACATCAGATTCATATTCACTTACCGTTGAAAGAACTGCTATATCCACCACGAGTGGCAAAGAGGACGTTCAGTATCAGCATGGCCATTCTGGTAACAGTGTAGAAAAAGATTAAATTTTCACTGCTCCAGAATATCCTATCAGTCGTGCTAAAGACCCCATTACAACAAATGTGAACGCTCGACAAATACCCACCCCGGGGCGACTTATCAATCGTCGACCTTCAGCTCGGAAAATAACAACCCCAGCATTAATCAGCCCGACGACAAGATCTCGTACTCCCTTCCCGAGGACTGCACCCTCACGACAATTACAACGACTAAGCGGAAATACCGCTTGCACAACGATGGCCCCCCACAGTCCTCGCTCCTCATCGAAAACTTTGAGGACGGTAGGGCGCAGAGCAATGTCAACTCGCGCAAGAATGTCGGGGTCCGTCTCACGCCCTCAAACTCCAAAGCCCACCCGCAAATCACGCAGAAAGCCCCCCCAAATGAGCATAAAACTATTCAGTCGAAGCTCACGGCTAAATTAGCGGTTGAGGGAGCAGAGGAAGAGACGCTCAGCGACTAAGAGGCGGGCCGATCCCAGAAAGTAAATTCAGGCCCGGTCCGAAGATATAAGCTTTTTGCGGGATTGCAGGGTGTGGGGAGCAGGCTCAGCTGGTTTTGGAAGAATGTGAGAAGCAGAATGAGAGAATCCCAGTTCTTTGCATGGGGAAGAGAGGGGGGTGTCTGGGAAGTGAGGTGGAGAGGGGTGTAGAGGATAGGAATGAAAAGACGATGGAGGGTTGGAGGGAGGATATTGGGGGTGGAAGTCTGAAGCGTATGAAGTGGTCCTGTTTCCTTTAATGGAAGGGGCTTGGAATTCAGGGTGCTTGCGTATGGGAGGGTGATTTAGTGCCATACAATCAATTGTAACGCTTTATGCAAGAGGTGAGACCAGAGTACATAGAACAGGTAATAGGTATTATGTATGAAACGAGATTCCTCAGCTGTTAAATGAACTCCTTCTAACTCACCACTACAAAGATCCCAAGCAGGCAACTTCCATCGCCATCTAGTCCTGTCTAACACCACTGCAGACTTGTATCGCTCGAACAAAGCGCCCCTCTGACAGTCTGTCCACCACTCCCCAGCAAGATACCACCTGGGAAAGGCACAATTGTATACGTACTTCCAGGCGCAATAACCGGCGGAGGAAGAGGTGGGCTCAGTCCAAGAATTGGTTGGCTTTTATACGCCGTGCTATCGTCGGCGCCAAATCCCTTCAGGTATCCGGTAAGGGTAAAATGACCCAGCCTAGAGAACTCAACTGTGTTTGGAGCAGCTAGCTTATCAGCCTTCGGAAATGCGAAGGAGATTGTGCAGGTTTTTAGGTGGATTGGCCCGCCGTCGACGTAGTCAGGGACCTTAAGATCCATAATAGTGCATTTATTCGGAGGGTGTAAGGAGGGGTACCATAAGCATTCAATGGGTTCCATGACGAAGCCTATAGCGGGGCTCGAAAAGGATAAAGATGAGGTTAGTTGCATCAGTCAAGATAGTCAGGAGGATTTGGTGTCAATGGTTAAGAGGAAGGTGGAATCGCTAAGACTAGTAATGGTAAGTAACAGATGAAGAGCGCGCGTCATGTTGGTAAAAGTCAGCGAACCAATGGCTGGTGGGTGTTGAAGAAGAAACAGAGTGGTCGAGCTAAGAAAGCGTATCGAGATGAGGCTGTGTCGGATGAAGCCAAGACACTTACAATGACAGTCAACAGACGACAGCAGAAGGCTCTTCTTGCCGCAGACAAGGGAAGTAGCCCTATATAAAACTTCGCCGTAGTCTTATGCTTACTCCTCATATCAGTCATCTCTAGATCTTGCGATCACTACTGCAGTACTCGAAATTAGCAATAGCAGCACAAAATCCTTCCACACAGCAAACTCTTGCGGGTCCCAGCCGGAGCTCCTTCAGGCCGAGTCCAATCAGAAGGCCAACCCCAAGGAACCTTCAGGTTTGCCCAAGGATGCTAAATCGATCAACGGAAATCCCACTCCGAAGGCCTTCACGTATCCCATTGAAGTCCCAGAGATGACAACTTCCTCCTCTGAGGCAGAAGACTTCGTTCACGTCAACATGCCAGATCAAGGAGAGCGAGCTAAGCTTAATGATGCGTACAAGAAGAGTTGGGAGTTCTGGCGCCGATAGTTGCTTCTGCGAGGTATTTGCAGTCTAGAAAGATTAGTGCTTAGGAATCGTTTCCAGTGGTGTTCATGGGCAGTGCTGGAGATTGATGTGAAGCTATTAGGGTAGGAGGATCAGAGGAATCATGAGGAACTAGGTTGATTGCTAAATAGTGTACCTAGGGGTCTATGTATATGCAAGAAAAGGGGTAAGTCTTAGCAACATGTGACTATCGTGTGAGCCTTGCGTGAGTGCTGCAAACAATTGAGGACCCATCGAGGTGAGAAAGGGTTAAGATTAGCGCCATATGTAAGGTCTAGAAAAGCTTAAGGTAGGCTTGGAGTAGCTGACGGTAGCCATTCTTTTAGGTTACTCCCATGTAAATTATATGACTGCCAAGGACATGACCCACCATCGTGCTCGTGATTATATCTGATCCGCGCCCGTGCTATGGGAGGCAAATTTTGTTGGGCGATACTGGAAGCTCTATGGAGGCCTATAGAGCTCTTCTAGGAGAAATGTGAGCGAATACCCCTACCAGCACAGCACCGATGGTTTCTTGGCGGATCTTGCCGCGCTCGAGCTTTTGTGTTTACATACTTCTGCTCCACCTTAAGGAGCATTCAATCTCCGCCGCCTCATCCTTCGCTTGCATATTCCTTCCAATATCGATGAGGGGCCGCTCTTCAGGAGAACGAACTAGTTACATATGCACTAAACCGCAGGAGGCAATTGGGCATCTAATCAACTGGGTAAGACCTCATCTAACAGTTTTCAAAGCAGTGCATCTTGCTACACGAGATTTCTGAAAGGCTGGCCTGTCGAGGAGATGCAAGAGTGCCTGCAACTTGTAACCTATGGTAGACATGGCCGGGATACAGTCGATCTGTTTGACATCTTGCTGCAATCACGAGATCATTAATATGTAGAGCTCTGTCCTAAATTACCTCCTATTATGTTCCGCTTTACTAAGATGCAGTGTATAACAGGAGCCATCTCTAAGGTTGTTGAATCTTTGCTAAAAGGAGCTTGTTGGTGGCAAGTTTGTCCGACGCTTCGGTCCAGCGAGTCGGTCGGAGTAGGTCTACATAGTTTTTCCCAATTGCAGAAACGTTGGAATTACGCGATGGACAACAGTCCAATGAGCTTGTTGCAGACACAGCCTCAGCACCATTTACTATTTTAACAATAACGCAGCGACAACTCCTTCGTTTCGTTTCAAAACACGAATTTCCGGGCAGTGCCGCACCCGATCGTGCAATTTGCCTCGCGCGATTGTGCACAACCTTCGTCCCGGGAACCAATCACAAGCACACATGATCCACTTCAGTGATCCTTCACGCAACAAAACTTAAGAGCGTCACGAAACACATTTTTACACCCGAACTCAAACAATTCTCCGAGTCTTGGGGGCGAAAATAAGCATACCGGTAAATCTCCCGTTTTGGCAAAAGTTCTGCATTTCTGGGATCAAGCACTTCCAACACCGAGTTTTGTGGGGTTGAATGATCTCATCTGACGATGTCAAGGCGTTCCTCGTGGGGGCTTTCTTCATCGGACGATGCCGATGAGATTGAATGAGGAGAAAGCTGCGCGTTGAAAGTATAAGTACCTCCAATCGGTACTGCTTCTCAGACATAGCCAGAACATCAGATTCTCTCCTTCAAAGTTCCCAGCATAGGCCTCCTCGAAACTGCCGCAAATATCAAGAACACAGCACTGTTCTCTTGAATCCAATCCCTTCTACTCTCAGAATGTCTGGCATAGGTATTCTCGCGTCTGCGATTATCCGCTCTCTCTTGCTCGGCCTCGATGCCCATTTCGGTCCAGACAGCATCGTAAGCTACCACTCGTATGCACCCGGCTTTCATATGCTAAAACCATACAACTAGGACTTGCTCCAGGGAGAAGTTTCGGATACTTTGTCTAAGCCCACGTTGAACAACATGTGCGTGTTCTACGTAACCGGAATCCCTGGATCAGTAGATGAAAGCGTCGTCAATATCAACGCATGGGTGAAATGCAAGTTTCAACAGCCAGCAAAACCAACTGCAAATCAACTAACATCTGTCACACAGGCGGAGAACAACCATCATTGCTCGGGTCATGGTTGAACGTCCCAGCCGGCAAGTAAGTCTCGCCCCAGCCAGCAACATCCCGGCCTCGAGATGAGATATCCTAACCCCCCGTCCAGAGATCTCAAAGTCACAGACTCCCGCATCGGAGACCTAACCCTTAACTTCCAATCCTCGAAATTCAACACCTTCCCCTTCCCTGGCGATCTTATTATCTACAATTCTGTGTGGACCGACACTGCCTTTGATTCCGGCATTGGTATGGGCAACTGCATCAACTTCTCTAAGAAGGGCTCTATCATTGGCAAAGACTGCAAGGGTGATAAAGTTGTTACTACAGTTTGCAACGAAGGTTTTCTAGATGGATCGTATGGTGTGATTAATCATGAGAACATTGTGAAACACGGTTGGATTTATCTTATGGCGGTTCCAGAGCAGGGGGTTAATCCGGGGTGTCCGGATCCGGGGAAGAAGGTTAAGAGGGCGTTGGAGTTTAGAGGGTGAGGGGTTTGAGAGGTTGGAGTGGGGAGGTCTGGGTGGTGCTGGTTGAGTGTGTACATATGCATGCCATGTCTTTATCTGATTGATTGAATCTGCGACGTTTTATTTCGAGGGATTGCGGCTCTGCCAGCATATCTGCCATTCGAGTTATTGGAATCAAACACAGTTTCGTTCCTTACCTCTGCCCAAGTTCCCATCTTCACTAGGTGTTCGCGTATAGACACGACTTCGAAGTTCACCCAATCTCCCAACGAAAGAGGCTACAACAGTCGAGAGCTAGTTTCCACGGGGGTTTTGATTATTGTGCCATGCAAAAAGCTAGTTACAGTCCAAATTACAACCAATAGCAAGAAGATCTGCGCGCGGTTTGCAAAACCAAGTCTTGGCATGCGCGTAGGAGCAAGACACAAAGCTAACTTGTCCACGCAGTTAAAAAAGGATTAAAAAAGATGTTAAAAACTACTATTATTGCTGTCTGCACTATAGACAATTTTTGCGAGAGCACTCTATGCAAGAAGTATGAAGCGCAGAATGGGGTATAGGATAGTATTCATAGACGAATACGGGTTCGAGAAAGGATATATATATGCACTACGGCACGTGACTGGAGATCATGTGCTCGAGACCGGGCCGAGGGCTCTCCGGGGGGAGTCCGAGGCATGTCTCAGTTAACTGCGACAGCTTTTACTTTATATTATTTAACCCTATTGACTTCTAAATCCTCTCCCTTCTTCTAATTAAGTATAAAGGTGTTATAGTAACAAAAGGGCGATCAAAAAGCTGCAAAAGCGGAAAGTAAATAACAAATTGACAAGTATTGAATTGCTTAAACGCTTGAGTGTGGAAGGATGCCTACAAGGAAGACTGTCAAGAATCGCCCAAAATTAATCATCCCCGAGCCAGGCGACTCCATGGGGTCATTTGGGTTTGCAGCGCGTCCGCAGACCCAGTTTGGTAGCCGGGCGATGACATAAGTGGCCAGTCCTGATCAAACCCTGAGGCCCGTTTTAGACTGTAACTTGAGTTTTAAAAAACACAATGGTGGGAGGTATTGAGCAGGGAGTATGAGGTACAGAGAGGGAATGCAACATAGGGGTGTGAAGAGGGAATAAACAGCAGTGCCCGAGGCAAAGTACGTGCTTACAAAATCGACGAGCAGATTATCCTTCCTTTCCAGGAAGAAAGTGGCTAGTCCTGATTAGGAACGATAACAGGCTTTGCTTAGAAGGTCTTGGCAGCGCTAATTATATTTAGAGGGAAAAACCACGCAGCAGAAGTAATTTTAACACCCCTAACCGCGTTGTCTTTACCCGTTTTTCTCGCTTGACGCACGGCCTCACCTGGCGCACGGATTTCAGCCAATATCCTCACATAGATTTGAAGCTCTAGAGCTCACTATAATTCGAATTATCGCAAGATTTTGTAGAGTAACAGGCAATAGGGTACAGCGAATAAAACTACGTCATTATCTAGTCGCGATACCTAGTAGGAAGGCTGATCTGTCGCCCTCGGCGATTTGTCAGCTGGGGGGCAGCAATAACCTCTACAACTGATTCCTCATTACCACCATCATTCTAAGGACTAAGAGAATGCTGTTTGCTCCTTTTTTTAGCCTATTTAGCATATTAGATGTCCTTTTAGAGCTGCGCAGCTGCTAATCTAGCTTACTTATTGTTCTCCTTCTCCTGCTGCTTCTAAGCCTGCTCTTAGAGTTAGATTTTCTTTGCAGTAGCCTTTATGCGCTGTCTCTTCTCTATAACCTACTCCTTCTCTGCTTTCTTTGCAGCTTTGCACTTAGCATCTTTTTTTTTTTTAAGTCTCTCTGCCTCTGCTACTTCTACTTTTTTTATTTCTTACTTATAAGCTTACTAGACCTTGTTTAGGCTCTAAAAAATTACTTTACTATTTAGATTAAAAGAAAGTTTAAGCTAAAAAGCTTTACCTTTTTACTAACACTTCTTCTTATTAACTAGTGCTTTTTTAAGGCCGCAAACCTCTAGTTTTAAGAGGATGTTCTGCGTAGACAGTAAGTAGATTGTTTATAAAAGCTGCTAAGCCTTAAAGTTATATATGTTGTTAATAACTAATCTTAAAAGCTTAGTAATCTTTCTCTAATCTTTAGCTATTAGCACTAACCTTAAGCTCTTACTAAAGAAAGGTCTCTTAGCCTTAGAGTTATTAAATTAGTCTAGAATAACATTAAGCTTAAAGAGATAAAAACTGTAGGTTTTAAACCCTAAAAAAACGTTCTTAGCAGTAAAAGCTCTCTTCTATGCTGCCTAGAACATGCAGAAGAAATCTCTCTTAGTAATAGTAAAAAAAGCTTAAGATTCTTCTATAAACTATGCTATCTTATAAGTATAAGCTTATAAGAGAGGCCTAAACAAGTAAACATTAAGCAGCTAAAGTATATAAGTACTATAAAAAAGATAGATAGCTAAAAAGATCTTGTTATTATTACAGTACTTAATAAACTTTATGTTTATATAGAATCTATGTGTCACGGTATCCTCCCTGGATCCCAGACATAACTGTATTAGACGCGTACTAGAGTATTATTAGTGCATGTCTAACATAAACACAACACAACACAGACATAAACTTAAGCATAAACTGCCTTAACACTAACTAAACCTAAAACAGGCTTAATTTATACCTAAAGCGCTTAGACTTCTAAGCTAAGTATTTAATTACTAATTTTCTTCTAAACCTTTTTATTTCTTACACAACGTCTTATACCTACTATAATACCTTACATAGTAATTAAACTAGACCTCTATAAAGCTCTATAACCTTACTTATGCATAATTATAACATTATATTATGTTAAAACTTTAGCTAAGAATAGCCTTTAAATCTAATTTAATAAGCTTAGTACTTATATAACTCTAAGCTATTAAAGTAAGCTAAAAAGCTTTCTAAAAAGCACTTACTTTATAAAAAAGCTACTATGTTGTAAGCTTTAAAGCTTTTTAAAAAGACTTTAAAAAATAGCTTTATGTTATTAAGTAGTCTATTTTTGCCTTAACTTTTATTATAGTAGTAGAAACTAAGAACTTACTAGCCTTAAAGCCTACTTAGAAGTCTAGAGATAGCTTAACTTTTTCCTGCCTAACGCTGCCTATAACCTGTAACTTTTTTAACTTAGTAATAAAATCTAACTAACTCCCTAATCCCCTGCTATTTAACAGAAAATAAAAAGACCTACTTTTCTTCTTACATAAGCTCTAATATAAACTTAAAAGAAATATAGACTAATTCCCCTTTAAACACTTTTAGTTACTATATGCCTACTTTTAACTTAACTATAACATAATAGCCTTAATTAACTTACTAATAAATAAAAATATTATTAACCTAGATTAATTTATAGTGTTTTTATAAGTAACTTATAAAGACTTAAATAAAAAGTTAACAGCTTTAAGTTACCTAAACACTTTATAATAATAAAAAAAAAGCTTTACTTTACACTTTACTAAGTTCTGCTAACTTACATTTAATATAGGCCTAAATAAAATAGGTCTAATTATAGCCTTATATAACTCCCTCTTAACTAAACTGTAACACGCTATAGTAGAAGAACCCCTTCTAAACAACCTTAATGCGTATGTAAACCTAATTGCTACCTACAATAATAACATAAGGTTCCTCCCTGTACAAGCCCTAATACACCCCTAAACTAGCGCAGTTGTAAATAAGGACCTTAATATAATAAAAATTAATTTAAATTATGCTCTAGTTAGTTCTAGAAAGTGTAAAAATTATAAAAAGAAAAGTTAATATTTTAAGTGTAGTAAGCATAGTTATATCTTTTAAAACTACTTTATTTCTTTTTCTTAAGTCTGCGCAAGTAGCGCTGCTAGTACTTATTAAAGATTTTTACTATTCTAATTTTGTTTTTATAAAGGCTTTAACTTATATTTAAGCTTTAATCTCTTTTACTACTCTTAACATAGCCACAGCTATAGCAGTAGGAGCCTATAAAAAGGCTTGTCCTAGGGCTAAGTTACCTTCTAGGACTAATTTAACACTAGATCTCTGCTAACTTATAGGCTAAGTCCCCTACTAATAACTAAAAGTACTAAGTTAATATTTCTATATATTTATAATAAAAAACTATATTAGCTTTAATATAAGCTCTTATTAACTTAAGAGTAAATAGTATAGGTTATATTAATAAAAAACTAGCGCGTAAACTAAATCTTTAATTAACACTGCTTACCTAAATAATTTACTTAACTAGATTTAATAAAAAATAACTTAAAAAAAGTTTTATTTTTTATACTATAACTATTATAATTACCTACTAACACTATAAGGAGTAGATTAAACTCTATGTAATAAACATAAGATGTTATAACTTAATCCTAAGACAACTATAGCTGTATTAGCATAAAGTTGCTTTTAATTACTAAAAGTAAGTTTTAAACTTTAACTTTTTTTAATACTAAGATATATGCTTACGCTTACACTTAAACAACACTTAAATAGCACTTAATATAGAAGGTTTTTAGACCTACTTTCTAATAACCTAAAAAAGAACTACCTAAGTAAGGCTAATAAGCTAGGCCTTTTACTAAGATAAGCTATATAAAATAATTTAATAACTACTTAAACTTAAAAAAAAGAAAGCCTTTAAAAAACCTTTACTTACCTAATTTAGACATAAACTAGGACTTAAACAGTAAATAGACATCTGCTACATAAAACCTACTCTGTTTGTAACTCTAGCTTAATAACTAGATTATAAAATTTACGCAGTTATAATTTCTAATATAGACTAAGCTTTAGCTCCCTAAAAACACACTAACTTAAGAATAATAGTCCTTTAAAACTACTATAACTTATTATATGTCTTTTTCTAAGATA